AGATTTTGTCATCTTAAAAACCTTGGCATTCAGGTACACCATTTAGAAGACTATCAGACATGCTAACAATACTGAGGAAAACACAGTCGTGGTCATTGATAAACATGCCAGGAAAACAGTTCTGGGTCACTGAATTAGGGTTGATAATCATGCCAGTTTCAGAACTGGTTGAATGACAACTTTATAAATGTGTTCTTGACAAAGAAACTCTGTGTAAATAAGCCTCAGAGGAGGCAGCCTGTTAAAGCTAAGAGAGCCTAGGTGAAGAGAAACAGGCTCTGGAGTTGGGTTGCATTAAGAACCAGCCTCATCACATAACTGCTTCAGTGTCTGGGCTTCTCTATGGGAAATGAGCCTTTGTGGCACCTGCGTTATGCTTGGTGACTTGTTACAGGGATTCAGGGGGAAGAGCCCCTGGCTCGATGGTGCTTAGCAGGTGCATGTATGTACCTCTTCTCTCCAACCCATTGAGACCAGCTTTGGCTGCCATTTTGTAAAAACTGCTTGACAGATGATCTTGACTACAAGGATTGCTGTGATTATTAAAATGGACTTTTATTTATTTATTTTTTAAGATTTATTTATTTATGCATACAAGAGCTGGGGCACAAGCCAGAGATGGGGGCGGGGGTGTGTGTGTGTGAGAGGATCCACCAGAGACAGAGTGGGGAGCAGCGGGCAAGACAGGAGAGGTCTGCCATGCCATGTGGGTTGCTCCCTACCTGGCCAGGGATCGAACTCTTGCTGCAGAGGCTGCGGATTGCCTCACAGTGTGGCGCTCAACCCCCTGTGCCACCAGGGAGGCCCTAAAATGGAGTTTCAAAAGTGATAAACACTTTTTAAATTAATTTTTTATTACTTTTTTTTTCAATGACGCACCAGTAGTATTCCATTGTGTATATATACCGTATCAGTTTTGGGCCACTTAGGTGGTTTCCATATCTTGGCTATTGTAAATAGTGCTGCAATAAACATAGGGGTGTAGGTTTCCGTTTAGTGTTTTTGTGTTCTTTGGGTAGATACCTATGAATGGAATTGCTGGGTCATATGGTTGATCCAATTTTAGTCCTTTGAGGAATGTCCACACTGTTTTCCATAGGGTCTGGACCAGTCTGCATTTCCAGCAGCAGTGTGAACAGGTTCCCTTTTCTCCACACCCTCGCCAGCACTTGTTGTTTCTGGCCTGATAAACTTTTTTTTTTTTTTTTACTAGTAGAATAAACCACTTTTCGATGATTTCTTGTGATTCCTTATTAATTATACATTGCTTGTGTGGTATTTCAGCGCTCATGTGGTATTTTAATATATAGAATTTTAGTTCACTGTCTCTCATATTTTACTACGAGACTACTCTAACACCAGAGAAAAGTAAATTCTCTGAGAATAGTGTAGAGGGGAGGGGTGCATGTAGTATCTCCTCAGAATGAGCCAGGTGCTCTGTTACCAGTGTAATGTTTTAAGTGTGCTTGCCACTGTAAAGGACCAGGTTTGAAGGGTCCAAAGGAGGCTGAGAATGGGAAGATACACAAGGTCCTTATGGAGTTGGCAAGTGGGTACAGGGTGGAAACTGGGCCAGTCATCCAGTGTGAGCCACACAGCTGTGCACCCCCCTGTAATCTGATACCCTGAGCTCTGGAAGGGGTTTTCAAGATGATTTGGTTAGAACCGCCTTCATTTTACTTATGACAAGACAGCCCAGAGAGACTAAATAATCTGCTCAAGGTCTCTCCTAAAAGTGACAGAACAGGGATGAAGCCCACGTCCCCTGAGTCATAACCCATCATTCCCGACATCTCCCTTCTGATCAAGTGTGCAGAACTTGGCTTAGCAGGAATGCGCTCAGCTGTGTTAGATAAGGATCCCCTGCTGCCGCTGCTGCTGCTCTCATGCACACCTCAGTGGTTTGGAGATGTGAGATGAGGTTATCTGATGAAGGAAGGAATGTTGTGTCAACAGTGAGATGTCAGCATCTCAGACACTTGTGAAGAGTGTCTTCGCTGATGTTGTCTCCCTATCCTCTGGGCAGCCTTACTAGCTAAGAATATATACATTGAACTTGACTTTTTATGGTTTGTATTACAAAGTTGAATAGATATACTGGATGGCCTTTGCGAACGACACGGGGATATTGATGGGCATTGCTTCTGTTTGATCCAATATGCTGATACAAATCAATACAATTGTATTATGGAAAAAAAATACATAGTCTACATTTAGCAAAGTAACTGGCATTTTATAGTTAGGTGCCTGGCTTTGGGTCTGGTGCTGTGTGTGATGTCAAATCCACTTAGGATTTGCAGTCTGGTTAGAGAGGCCAATTTATTGGATGCACTTACAACCGCAAATGTACCAGGACTGAAATGAACCCCACCAGCTCTCAGACCCACTACCCCCATCCCACCTGTGTCATAAAGTGGCCCCACTGTCTCACCTGTCACACATACTAGAAATCCTGACAACCTAGCAAGTGGTCCTCTTTGATGCTTTCCCTCTCCTTAACTCCCCCTGCCAGTCTGACAGCAGGTGTCTCTCACCCACACACTCTTCTCCACTGAGCTGCAGGCAGACTCTGTTCATCATTCAGCTCTGCAGCACTGCCCCTCGGGGAAGTCCTTGTGGCGTCTTCTAAGAATGAGTCAGGTGTTCCCTTTTCAGTGTGGCTATAACCAGCAATCAGCTTCTGTATTATTAAAATGCCAAGCTATAGTCCTTGAAGTCAGGGAACTTAGCTTATTTCTCTTTGTAAACCCAGTGCCAGACACATCAGTTACCCAGTTTTTTAATCAAAACATTGAGAGGATCACCAGTTTAGTTTGTGCTATTTTTGAAGCTTTCCAAGTAAGCGAGGATGGAAAGAAGTAGGTCTCGAAAAGCCTGGACCCCATGAAAAGACACGAGCAGTTATAGCTGGACGCTTTGGTCCTCCAGGCCTCCTCTGGAGCCAGATGTCTCACAGCTGAGTTCTGACCAATGCAAACTCAACTGAGATGCCGTTTCTAAGAAGTCTCCTTAAAGGGGCTTGTCTTTCCCCTTCTCACCGTTGTGTTGGCTGCAATGAGCTCTCAATGACTGTGCTCCCTCGGCCCTCTGAGCATGCATAGCAGGGCCACTTCCTGGGCATATCCTGGGGTTGGTGTGGTAGGAAGCTGGAAGGAGCCTGGGTAGGGAGGCAGGTATCTCAGGTAGAGGGACAGGATGAAAGGGCACGGTGCAGGGCAGACAGAGGACGAGCTGGCATAGGGGCCACCAGAGTGATGGGCTGGGACCACCGAGAAAGAGCTTGAATAGGGCCTTCCCGGTGGTGCAGCAGTTGAGCGCTGGGTTGCGAAGCTGCCCGCGGCCTCTGCGGCGCTGGTTTGATCCCCGGCTGCTCCCCGGCCACTGGAGGAGGGTCCCACATGGTGCACAGACCTCTCCTGCCGCCCATTGCTCCCCTCAGCAGTGTACTTCGGTCCTTCTGCCTGCTCTGCTCCCTGCTCTGGCTCTGGTGAGTTCTCTCACCCTCCCGCACTTCTGACTGTGCCCAGTGCATGTGTGAACAAACAGACAAACAAACAAATGGATAAATAAATAAATAAAAACATGCCTCTATAAAAGAAAAAAAAATTAAAAAAAAAAAAAGAGATTGAATAAGGTTAGGCAGTGAGCAAATGCAGCCAGCTGAGAAAGATGAAGCTTGGGAAAACCTCTGTGGGTTGAATGTGGATGCCTTGGTAGGGGCTCTGAAGTGGTGAGGGCAAAGAGCGCATAGGAGAGTAGATGACTCTTTAAGGAGTGTGGCTGTGGGAGAGAATTTGGATTGGAGAGAATGTGTGTGTATGCTCGTGGGCATAATTCTATTGAAGACAAAAAGGGAGCGTAGGCAAGGTCTTGATAACATGAGAACTGATGATACACAGAGCGAATGGACAGAGTCTGGATCTCTGCAAGGAGGAGAGACGCTTCCTCTGAAGAGGGTGGAAAGAAGAAAATGGGCCATATGGGTTTATTGATTTGGCAGGCAGACACCAGCCAGCGCCTGTCGAAAGCCTTCCATTTTTCTCCTGAAATATTTAGCAAGGTCATCGGCATTACCTATTAATCATAGGTCATAAGCTCACCACCCCCTATATCTTGTTGGTTTCTTTGGTTTTGCCTTGTGTTCTTCTGTGCTGTGAGAAGTCTTTTCCACGTTCTGGATGGATCACACAGCTATGTCAAAACTCTTTGCTGCCTCTATGTCCCATGACATGCAAGTCATGTCATCATCTGGGCCCCGCTTCCATTCCAAGCCCACTTATCTGCAGCTGTATAGCTGTGCGCCAGCAACACCCACTGGACAGTTGTCCTCAAACAGCTTGCCCTTGCTGCTTCTCAGCAGCCTTTGAGGATGCTCAGGTGCTGTCCCTTTCTCCTTACCTGTGAGCTTATTTTCCAGTCACCAGTTCTCATGCACCTCCTTTCAGATCTCTTTGCTTCACTTTGCTCTTCCCCTTCCCAAGCCAGGAACTGTAGCTTTATTTCCATATCTGTGTGTGATAGCTGATATGGTAGCCTTTTCATCTGCATTGAGCACGAAGAGCACCATGTCAGGTATATGGCAGGCACCGAGTGAATGGATGAATTTTGATTGCTTTCCCTGTTCTCTTTACAGTTCTTCATGAAATGGAAGTCATATACATTTAGGTTTTTTTTAAAGATTTATTTATTTATGTATGCAAGAGCTGGGATGTAGGTCAGAAGTGCAGGGGAGGGGTGATGGTGGTGAGAGGATTCACCAGAGACAGTGGGGAGCAGAATAGGCAGACTGACTGAAATACACTGCCGAGTGGAACAGCAGGCGAGACAGGAGAGGTCTGCTCTGCCATGTGGGTAGCTCCCTGGCTGGGAATCAAACTTTTGCTGCAGTGGCTGCTGATAGCTTCATAGTGCTGAGACTTAACCCCTTGCATCACCAGGGAGGTCCATACATTTAGTTTTTGATACAAAGAAAACACATTTTCTTTTTCTTTTTTCTCTAGGTGGTTCTGGAATGGAGCCGGGATCAATACCACGTTTTGTTTGATTCCTACAGAGACAATATTGCTGGAAAGTCCTTTCAGAATCGGTGAGATCAATTTTGGAAAGTAACTTACTTACATTAAAGTGATGAGTCATGAAATCACTCTTGCTTTAAATATATATTTAAAAAATTACCCTTGCTTCAGATAGGAGCAACCTCATTTCTGCTTCCCAAGGGTCTTTTCCTAGTTGTAGATATGGTTTAGCTTATTCAAGATTATTCCCATCTGAAATAACCTTGTAGCCCATCCCCACCTCTTGTGGGTGAAAGTTCTACTTCCCAAAGAGTAAAATGCTTTGCGTCTTATTGAGTTCAGTAGCTCCCCTTTTTCTGGAGGGTCTGTTTCAAGACCCTCCCACTCCCACCCAATGGATGCAAAGATTGTACTGAACCCTATGCTATACTTTTTTTCCTTATACATACACAGCTATGATAAAGTTTAATTTATAAATTAGGCACAGTAAGAATTAACAATAACAAACAATGTTATAAAAGTCCGTGGGTTTTCTCTCTCAGAATACCTCTTTGTACATGATATTTTAGGAATGTGTTAACCACTGTGCGTAACTGAAACCTTGAAAAGTGAAACCACAGATAAGGGATCAGGGGATTGCTGTTCTTTAAGTTATAGGATCTCCTTTCTTCCTTGGCCCAGTCCTGGGAGCTAAAGGTAATTCCATTCCCCCGGAGGTGGCTACTCTACAGCCACTTTTGAGCCCTGGCGACTGTTCTTCTGTTGACATCACTCTGTTAACCAGGGCCGTTCCCATGACAGCGCCCAAGAAGAGCCCCCCTTCACCTGCCCTGGCCACCACATCTCGCCCCTTGTTGTGGGGCAGAACGACCATCTTACCAGTTGAGTCTTGTTCTACGGCCAGTCTTCAGGTCTCCTTCAATTTTGCTTTTCTTTGGAGACTTTCTTCCCTTACAAGGCAGACCTCAGAGTGGAAACAATATTTTACATCTTCCTTCTCTTCTTGCAGCTAAAATGGATCACACAGTCTCTTTTTGGTCTTTATCTATACAACTATTACCTATATTGTTTTATGTTATAAAAGCAATATATAGTTATGGGTGAAAACAGTTCAGACAATACAGAAAAATAAAAGTAAAGTCTGTGTCCCATTCTGTATTCCCTTCACCCAGGGGAATGATCGTTAATGAATTTTTGGTTTTGAATTTTTGGTCATCATTTTAACTTCAAAAAATAAAGAGTACTTTTTTCATTTACTTTCTTTTTACAGTATCTCTTGACTTTCCTTTTCAGTGTGATGTGTGCACAGTGAATTCTTACATGGTGCGGAACGAGAGATTATCAAAGCAGGGATAGCTAACAGGTTGTTCACCTCACCGAAAACTTTGGTCTGGATGTTAGGGACTATAGCAGAGGTCTCCCTCCATCCTGATAGGCCATATGTCCCTTTACTCTTGCTGAACTAGATGACCTAACAGTAATAATTATTGTCAGCATGCACCCCTTGACTGTTTTCTGAGACCCCCTAGACTGCCAATACCCTGGGGACCTTGTTTCTCACTTAAGATCACATCCTGTTCCACCATTCCCTTTTATGGGTGCCTATGTGGTTTCTGTTGGGTACATAGGTTTTAAAATAGCTCTGCTAGCTAGATGTATGGTGTAAAGTGTTAGATAGTCCTGAACACCTCAATGAAGAAGGGCTGTGGGATTCCTTGAGTTGACCTAAAAGCTTTATTCTTTGCTTTGGTCCTTCAAGCACCTAGATTTGCTCCTTCAGCAAAGATTGAATCTTTGAGCCTTACTGTGTTTTAAACCTGAGATGTGACTGCTGTAAAGAAGTTCATAGTGCAGTAGAGAGATGGCTTCTAAGGAATACCAGCAAAGGAGGGAAACTCTAGATCTTTCCCTTAGAATCCCGTAACTCACTAGTTTTCAGACACTTCTTGTGGAATTGGGTGGTGGTGGGGCTGAGAAATCAAAACTGTTTTTCTAACAATGCTAAGGTTGTTATTTGCTTCTTTTCACTTGACCTTTGCACTGGTGGCCCAAATGAAGTGGCAAGTAAAATCTCCACATCTGATCATGAGTCATCCTATTCTTCCCCACCACACACACATTTTCAGGTGGAAAAGTAAAAAGCTACTTTCATTTAAAGGTGTTCATGATGAAGCCGTGAACACTATTCATTTATCTTGACATTCTCAGTACCTTTTTATGGTTTTTTTTGTGATGAAATGGGAAGCATACCTAAAGCCCCTGATGCTTGGTCATTGGTTGTCTTGAGGAAAAGCACAACCTTGTTTTCTGTCTGGAGTTGCAGCCTGAGCTAGATAGATGTCCTTTTTCCTGGAGCACCATCGTTACTGCTTCGTAGCACAAATAACAGTAAGAATGCTCAGACTTGGTCATTGTGTAGGTATTTTCTGACAATGAACAAAGCAATCCTGTCTCTTAAAGGAAAACAAATGGGAGAAATTGTTTTGATAAATTTGTTTTGATGATAAAATTTGAGCTTTCAAGTAAGAATTATAAAACTTGGAAATAGTGGAAAATTTGAAAAACCTGTCTGCACCACACTCTCACAGTATTGTAAAGACTTCTGTAACTAGATTTGTGGCATCAACCAAAAAAAAAAAAAAAAAATCACATGCTAATGTTATATAAGATGATTAAGGAAATGCCTCACCATTTACCAGATCTGCATAACTCAGTAAGCTGTTATTTTCCAGGATCTTGCCTGCATAAAAGAGCCATTCAGAGTGCAAAAAAAGACAAATAGATTTTACTGTAAATGCACAAAGTGTTTCAGATTTCACACTGCTCATAATTTTAGGAAATCACAACTTATTTGAGCTAGTGCCAAAGAAGATCCACTATTATCTGAAAAGATTGTTAAAAATACTCCTCCCCTTTCCAACTAAACATACGTGACAGCCTGGGCTTTCTCCATATACTGGAACTGAAATAACAGATCCGATACGGGAATGGATTAAATGTTGAGGATTTGAGATGCCTGCTTTCTTCTACTAAGCCAGGCAAAGAGATTTTCAGAAATGTAAAACAGCACCTCCTCACAAAATTTTTTCTGTTGTAGGAAACATTGTTATTTTCATTAAGTTACTCATCTTAACATGTAAAGGGGCTTATTGTTTTAAAATGAATTAATAAATTTTTTAAATGTCTTTTATTTTCAGATATAACACGTGAAGAATTCTGATAAAATTTCTCTGGGTCCTTAATAATTTTAAGAATGTTAAAAGAGCAAGGTTGAGAACTGCGTCCTTAATGCAGCAGTTCTCCAACTTTGGTGTGTAGCACAACCCACAGGGCTTGAGAAAAGAGTTTCTGATCAGTGGGGCTCTGAGGCTTTTCATTTCTGTCAAGTTCACTGGTGATAATAGAAGCTGCAGATCTGGCAACCAATTTGGAGACTATCATATTTATGGATTCTCAGTGTAGTTTTCATACTTCTCCAATTTTCATTTTAACCATGTAAATTCTCCGATAGGAAGCTCAAAATAACTTGTCTTTTGTAACTCAAAATGTCTGTTGAATACTTACTCAACCTGCTTTGCCTTACGCTGTGCTAGGTGCATAAAGCCCTGCCCTGATGGCCTTCAGACTTGTATAAGGAAAGCTAGCTTAGAAATTGCAAACATTGAGGTCAGCATTTTCAATCAAGCACTTTTGTTCTTTATGAAGAATTTGTGTGTGTGAGCGCATATGTTAAATATTTCTCCTAATTTTAGATTGCATTTAAAATATAGTTTGATTTTATAATTATGTAGGGATTATTTTTAAATTGCCTAATTTTGATGATGACAGGTAATTGGATCACGTTACAGCACTGGTTCTCATATATTTAGAAATACCATAGTGGTGGTATGAAGTATTTATTGTTTTACTAGTTTCTCTATTAAGTCTTTTTTAATGTTGTTTTTCCTGAATAAAAGAAAAAAGAACCCATTCTATATGTCAATAATAAGCAAATAGGTAAATTACTAACTACTATGACAAATTGTGAGGAATTAAGTCAGTCACCTCTAAAATGTAGATACTGGATTAAATGTAAAGTCTCTTCCAACTCTGGTTCTAACATACTATTTAAGTTCTAAGTTTTCTTACCTGCTTCATAGAATGTAGACCCAAGAGGACCATTAAGTGACTTTAATATTCACTTAAACTAAACTGACTAAAATAAAAGTTGTATCACTGTCACCCTGGCTTTGGTTCTGAGTCAGAGATGACTCATTTCATTGCCAGCTTGAAGATACGGGCCTTCTTCTCATAGGGGAACTAAGACAGTGGTCATGGGGAGAGGGATTGACTGGAGACTCACTGTGACCATTTCTAACAGCAGAAAAGCAACTGACTCACTGACCTGGAGTGGATCGCCTGATTCCCTCATGGTTGTCAGCTTCACACCAGAGAACTAAATTGGTCACGTGAACAGCCATAAAAGGGCCATTGCAGTAACGCATCAAGCACTTAAGTTGTTCTCTTCAATTGAGCATGTGTAGCTATCTCTTGAGTCTATTTTAAACATCTTTAATAGCAGAATTAATCTTTGTTCAAAGCACAGGAAAGCTCTGGAGTATGCGATCCTTTTAAAAATCTTTTCTTTTTAAAAATAGTCACATAAGCAGTTTTTTCAAACAAATTTTTAGTCTGAGAATAGACCTGAGAAGCAGGGAGTGAAATGACCTTGGATAGCTTTCATGTGGGTAACATGAAGCATGTAAGAGGGTTTTGGGGGTTTTGTTTGGAGGGGAGGGAATGCAAAAGACCAGTGTATTTGAGGGAATGAACTAACAGCCAACAAGTCCATGTTAAAACCAACCATATACTCAACACATTTCCTAAACCTATGGTGATGAACAAGAAGAACTCTTTTTGGCAAGGGGAGGTTTTTTTTTGTAAACTTGAAGATATAATCTGTAGTCTGCATCTCAATCAGTGTTTCTCAAAGCGAATTTCTAGACAGGCAGCAATATCAAGACCCAAGAACTAGTTAGAAATGCACATTCTGGGGCTCCACTGTAGACCTAATGGATGAGAAATTCTGAGGAGGGAACCCAGGAGTCTGTGTTTTGCAAGTCCTAGAGGTGGTTCTGATGCCTGCCAGGCCTGGTCTGAGAACACTGACATACAAATGCTGCAGAGAGTGAGCCTGCAGATGCGAGAAAGAGGGAACCGCTAAGGAAGCAGGACACAGAATGCATGGCACCATTTCTGCCTTAAAGGTACTCTACCTAAGTGGAAGGTAGGCACCTAAAAAATAGTATAAGACAGTGCGTTAAGGAGTACAAAGGCCAGTGGGAACTGCATGTTAAGCAGTTTGTTTTCTTTGTGGGGGGGGGGTGTCAGGTGATAGAGAGGTTTGAGGAAGGAGGAAATGGTTAAAGGACATTTGAAAGAGAATATTCTGGGAAGAGGACTAATGTTCAGAGCACAAAAGCCTGCACATTTTTATCCTGTTTGGGTGGAAGTATGCAACTGGAGTGTCTGGCACAGGAGGAGATTATGAAGGAGTGTACTCTGCAGGCAGTGGTGACCATGACAGGAGGATGGGTACATGTGCAGCTGTCCCTCTTCCTGAGTCTGAAGTGTGGTTCCCCATCTTCCTCCAAGAATCTGTGAGTCCCCTGATGCCTCTTCGACCCTCACACTCTTCCATGCAGGCCCCGGTGCTTTGGATAGGTTAGGTCTGCATTTGCATGTAGTGTTCCCTTTCTCTGGACCATTCTTCAGCCAGTGACCCTCATAACTGCCTCAGTTCCTTCACATCGTTGCTGACGGGCTACTTTGTCAGCCGTCCCTGGTCTCCTTGTTTAAAACGAACCCTGCGCCCCTCATAGACATGCCATGTATTTCTGTCTTCTGCTTTACTTTCCTCACAATATTTAACATCAGTTGGCTTTGTTTGCCCTGTCTTCACCTTTCTAGAATATAAGCTCCACAAAGGCACAGATTTGGGTTTTATTTTATTGACTGCTGAGTCCCCAGCTTCTGGAATAGAGCCTAGCACATCCAAAGTGCTTGATAAATACTTATTCAAGGAGTAAATGAACACTCTTTCTGATGCTCATTTCCTCCTTGAATAAATGACTCAAGTTTTCCTTTAAGCTAAAAGTGGTTGTCACTTGTGCTATTTATTTTTTCCTTCCACCGTTTTTCAGACTTACCACCAAACTGTATTTATTCTCCCTTGGTGATAATTAACCCTGCACTGAGTGGCCTGATGGCAGCCGAAAGCACAGATGTGGTTTTTGGGTTAATCTTTGGAGCCCTTCATCCTGGTTGGGTTTCATCCTGTGCCTGGCCTGTGAGGAAGACAAAGGGGCAGGATGTACTCTGTTCCTTGGCCTAAAGAAAATATGCCATTTCATGAAGATCAAACTTGAAACACAACTGGCCGAAGTCTCATGCCATGCGTCTGCAGCAGGCCCCAAGAGATGGTGGGATTTGGGTAGTGAAACAAAAGGGAAGCTTTCAGCAGGAATAGAACCTCCTTAATAGAAACACTAAGCCCAAGAATTATTTTTTTTTTTTTTTATAAATTTTATTGTTATATTCCCCATACAATTGCAGCCCCCCATTCTGACCCCAATCCCTCCCCTCCCGCCCCCGCCCCCCTAAAAGTGTCTCTGGTTCATAGTTTTTTGTTGATTTTGATTTTCACTTTCTTATAGTTATTCATTTTCCTGGTCCATTATTTAAGTTTTCTAGATTCCTGCTATGAGTGAGACCATCCGGTATTTTTCTTTTTCTTTTTGGCTTATTTCGCTGAGCATGATCCCTTCCAGCGCCATCCATGTTGCTGCAAATTGCATGTGTTTCTGCTCAGCTTCTTATTTTGAGGACAAGATGTTAAGAAAAAAAAGTAACAGATTCTGAAAGGTCTCCTGTGGCATTAGTGTATCATAGACATGGTCTAATTCAGCAAACACCCGCTGAGCTCCTCTGTCAGGCACTCTTTGGTTGGTACTGTAGGGAACAAAACAGGAACATTTACTGTTTCTTGGAGCTTTATATTCCGGGGGAGGGACACCTAATTACCCAGGTAGGTAAGAAGTTAATTATCTAATGTGATAGAGAAGTGATAAGTGCTGTGAAAAAAAGGAAGAAAGAAAACTAGGGCAAGAAGCATTGTCAGCCTTGGGGGCAGTGGGAAGGGGAAGGGTGCAGCATTAAATAAGAGGGCTGGGTCTTCATCGTAAGCTGTTTGCTAACTCTTTCTTGGTAATTGGGTTTAGCCTCTTAATTTTCCCCCTCAGTTTGGCTGCATTTGTATCCTAGCTTGTTCACTTGCTAACCTGGACTTGAAGCAGTTCAAAATGATCTTCCAAGGCTCCCACAATCTCAAAAGTGGAGTGACAGCAGCCTCCACTGCTGATGTAAGGATCACGTGCACACCGCATAAAGTGTGCTCATAGCACAGCTCAAAGAAAGTTCTCAATGAATATTAGTCCCCCAGCTCCAGTTTGAAAGCAGATGATCCTGTGACAGATGCCTTGGTCAGATGATCTTCTCATTAATTTTTTTTTTCATAACCTCAAAATTTCAACTCTACTATGCTCTTGCTCTCAAATAATGGAAGAACACATCTAAGCTGGGGGACTTGTGGGTTTATCCTAGGCTCTGCTTGCCCATGCCAATCGATGTGGTTTACACCTGGGTGAATGGCACCGATCTTGAACTACTGAAGGAGCTACAGCAAGTGAGAGAACAGATGGAGGAGGAGCAGAAAGCAATGAGGTAAAGCCGATATTCCAGAAACAAAACCCACAACACATTCTCTGAGTGCAAACAACAGCCCATTTCAGAAGGATAAGGTGATGTTTACAATGCTATCCAAACAAAAATCTGATCTTCAGACTCATGCCAGGACAAGATGTCAGCAGCCACTTTGGGGAGATCCTGGTCTTGCTTTGTCAGGTAGCCATTTTATCACCTTGACACTGTAGTGATGTCTTAAGGGGCGTAAGGGTCGAGGGGCCCTTGGCTTCCTGCTCACTCAGTCTCAGTCCCTGCATAATATCTTTATGAAATATGTTTTATTATGCAAAAGAGCTTCACCATCAGACCCATTTTTCCCTTGAAAAATAAAATAGACCTAGAGACATATATTTTTTCTATTTGACAAAGGCACTAAGAAATATATTCCCTTTGTTTGCCCCCCTTTTAAATATCAAATAGTATACCATGGAGCTAGAAACATTGTAAATTTTTTTAATGATGTACTTTTGACCATTTTATATACTTTATCTGGGAAAGATTCAATGGGCTTCTGGAGAGTCGTCAGAATGAGGGCAATGCTGTGACTCCCCCTCTGATTCCTCAGGAGGATTTACCGAGAATTACCCCATTCTCCTGTTTACGAATGTTTTGGGTGCGTTCCATTTGGGTCACTAGCCATGTAATACTGTAACAAATTGACTTTCTGTCTGTCGTAGAGAATATAAGACCTTCCCCATGCATGAAAATGACTTTGACAGCCTGATATCATATTTTAGTAGAAAAATGTAAACATATTTTGATAAACTGTCATAGTTACCATAGAACACATGATATTGTTTTTCAATTATATTTCAGTGAAAGATAATTTATTATATATCTTCAATGCTATAAGCATTTTAATTATTTCCTAACCTACTAGTAAGTTCCAGTGGAGTAACCAAGAAAATCAATGTTGTAAGTCTCCTCTTATTCACATTTAAGGCTAGCACAGTCCATGTATATATATACTGAAATATATTTGCTTTCACTAGAGAAATCCTTGGAAAGAATACAACAGAACCAACTAAGAAGAGGTAAGCACTTTTATTTTCCTTTTATTGAGGAATAAAATGAAATTCCATGTTCTCCCTTGCTTTTGCTAGATACGCAATATTTTACATATACTCCATTGCTCTTGTTCAATACCTCTTATGCTATTTTTTGACCCCCAAATTAAATACATCCACTGCATGTGAAAGTTTGCAATTCCAAAGGCATAGTTGATTAAAAACTGATTATTCAGGTGGTAGCTAATCAAAGCTGTGTAATTTCTGAAAGGGTTGAGTCCAATTTGAGTCCTACCTGACTCTCATAGGTAGGACTGTCCCCTTTACAGGGGGAGACAGCCCCTTCCCCACTTAACCGTTAGACTTGAGGCAAGAGTTCTTCTTAGAAATGGTCCTGAGGGGGTTTGAGAGCCAGAAGTGCTTTCTAATCATATCTTTATGTTAATTAGGTATTCTTATTGAATATTTTATTGTTAATACGGTTACTTTTAAATGACTTAAATTAAAGCAATGATGTAGCAGTACAGAAAGGGGGGGCATTGAAAAGAACAAACATGTTTTTCAGCCTTCATTCAAGAACTGTGATCATTTTTATTATTCCCTTTTCATACATGTTTTTATAGTTATAAGCTATGTAAACATAGCCAGACAATATTTCTGTTGCAAAATTATTTTCACACTTCATTCCTTTCAATTATGAATTAACCTTCTATACTTTACTAAATGTTGGGCACATCAGTATTTTCACTATTATAAATATTTTGTAATAATGAAGTGCTTAATTTCTTATACCATTGAATTAGTAAATTTTGGTGGCACTCTTTTTTATTACTAGGGATTTGAAATTTCTATCTCTAGAGTCACTTTTAGGATCATTTTATACCCTACTTGCTAAGTTGTGACAATTTTTATACTTTGAAGTACAATTCCTGGTTTATTAATGGTATGATTTCTTTTAGGCTCTAGAAAAGTATCTGGGAAGCTTAGTGCCCTAGCAGGTCTGTCAGTGTGGGTCACTCTTCAGGAGTGTAGACGTGAGCATGTGGGTGTCTCTTTCCAGTGAGAAGCAGCTGGAGTGCCTGCTCACGCACTGCATCAGGGTGCCGATGCTTGTCCTGGACCCAGCCCTGCCAGCCAACATTACGCTGAAGGACCTGCCTGCCCACTACCCTTCTTTTCATTCCGCCAGTGACATATTCAATGTTGCAAAACCAAAAAACCCTTCTACTAATGTCTCAGTGGTGGTTTTTGACAGTACCAAGAATGGTAAGTTCTGATGGTTGTTTCTTTTTTTGTTTTCTTAAAGATTGATTGATTGATAGATAGAAAAACTGGGGTATCGGCCCGAGGTGCAAGGGTGAGAGGATTCACCAGAGATAGAGGTAGGAGAAGAACAGGAGGATTGACTGAAATACACTGCTGAGGGGAGCAGCGGGTGAAATAGGAGAGGTCTCCTGTGCCCTATGTGGGTCAGCTCCCCAGCCAGGGGATCGAACTCAGGCTGTTGTCATGTTAGCACTGAGACTTAACCCCTGCACCACCAGGGAGGCCCACTAATGGATATTTCTAACTATGGATGAGTGGCTGTTTAAACAGAATTATGAATGGACAAAAATGATTCTGCTTTAAGAAATGCCTGATAAATTAAAAACATACAAACACAAGCAAAAGAACTTCTTGTTTCTCAGCCCTGACCTCAGGAAGGGATTGAAAATAATTTACTCTAATATGAATGCTCTTCTGTGCTGTGATCAGGACCTTCGATCTTACGTTTACTGTATTCTCTTGACTCTGGGTTACTCTGGAGGCTCCTGATAACTCCGCAGAAAGTTGTTTTCTGCAGTTTGGACAGAACAGACCTGGAACAGTCCTACTTTACGACGGAAACATCTGATTATACTGTTATACTGTTCATTTGACCAGTCAGTCGAATTCAGATTGTAATTCCTGTCATCAAGCTGCACCCACATCTTGGAGATCCCATCTTTTCGTTTGGTCACTGAGCTGCAGGGCCTCGTGCCGACATCTCCACTTTTCTTGCCTCTTCTCTGTTCGTCTTCTTCTGTGCTGAACCTCTCTGCCTGGGGGCTCAGTGTCGTTCACGCCTGTAAAGTGAAAACTGACATGTTCCCTCTGTAACACTGGGTCCTGCTGTGAGTTCCCCTTCTGTCTGTGTCACACATCCCCGCTGAAATCTTTGGACCCATCTTTGACCTGTTCTTTCTTTTTACCTCCATAACTAATAATTAACCTCATTCTGTTACTTGCTTTTGTTTTTTGTAAATGATTCTTAGGTTTTTACCTCTTTCACTCACCCCATTTCTGCTGCATCAAGCTGGATTCCTTCACACAGGCTCCAGCAATTGTCTCCTCGCTCTTCTGCTTTCCTGGAGTTCTGCAGTCTGTCCAGCATGCAGCTATAAATGAATCAGAGAGCCCTGATCCTACATTTCCCTCCCTTTTGGAAGAGAATGATGTGGTTGAGTAGTGTGTACTTGTTTTTCACATAGATACAACCCCCTCTTCCTGGTGTCCAGCTTCGATTGCCTTAACTCTGCTCACCTCCTCACCTCCTCACCTCCTCAGAGCTGTCACTGTCTTCCCAATGTTGTTCCCTCTTGTAGCCCAGCTCCTTTCCAGCCCCATCTCAAGGGCTGTCTCCTTCACAAAGATCCTGGCCTAGTATATTCATAGTGATTTTAACGTTTCTACTGTCCTATAGTACTTGTAACCTAACTCACAACTTAGGCTTGCACAGGAGTTTCTGGTGTCCTTATCTACTTTCTCTGTCAAGCAGATACCTTATCACTCAACCCATTTGTGTCCTGGATAATGTCTAACATACAGCTCGCATCATGGGCCTTAGCAAGGTGTCTGTAATTTGAAAGCAAATTCTAACTCTCCTTGCACACTGTGGATCTATTCCTCAACTATTCTGTACAGTTATTTTTTTTTCTTTAGTTATATTTTGAATATATAGGAAAAGTTAAGGGATAATCTTTGATGAATTATAATAAATTAACTGGTTTATTGTTTGACTGAATTTAGCTTTGTTAAGTGATTGTTACTGTTTCCTGAAATTTAGGGATTCTGGTAATATATCACCCAATAATTGGACATTATAGTGTCCAAAGAGAGAATCTTGGGTTTTTCTCTGCTGTTGTAATACAGTAAAGACGTAAGTTTCAACATGAATAAAATCTGTATTGAACTATAGCCTTCTAAACCCTGTTTTGATTTCCCAGTTGGATTTCTGTTTGACTGCCTTACTTATTATATTCATTGATTCAGGAAAGATTTGTTACTCTAAATTGGTTGTTTTTTTGGGGTATCAGGGAATAACAGAGAACAAAAAAGGCCATGTTCCTGCTTTCATGGAGCTTATATTTTTCACAAACTGTTCTTAACTTAAAGACCTAACAGGCAGTGGCTGGATTTTGTCCATTGATTGCCAGCCCCTGATGTAGATGAAAAATGTGTAGCCATATTTGTTGTTTCATTGACCTCATTTAAGCTTTTTCAGTTAATCATTGAGATCTGTTGACTTTTCTTTTACTTTTGAAATATGTTATTTCTGGCCACTTTTCTGTGTCTTAGACTGTTATCAATTGGATCACACTTCAGCAGTTATATAATCCAGCCCTGTAGCCTAGACCCTGGTTTCCTCAGCAAAGTGGTTTTTCCAGTAAAGCTTATCTAACCCTTTGAGGTATTGAAAGTAAATTTCCTCCTCTGACAATTCACTCTATCTTTGGACTAAGCGCACTTTTATTTTTTATTTTTAATTGAGGTAATGCTTGGAAACCCCCATCAGGTAGTACCATAGTGGGTACCATAGCACGCCCAGCACCACTCACCCATAGCCCACCACCATAGTCCATGTGCTTCCCTCCGTCTGTCATTACCCCTTTGGTTCCGTAGTCACCTATCAAGGGTTAGTTTCTAGGCTAGTCTTTATATGACTTAATTTACTTACTTCATATTCCACATGTAAAGTGACACCATCTGGTATTTGTCTTTCTCCTTCTGACTTTTTTCCTTAGCACTGTTTCTGCGAGCTCCATCCGTGTTATAGCAGGTGGCTTGATTTTATCTTTTTTGACTGCTGTGTAATATATATTGTGTATACCATATCTTGATGTACTCATCTGTTGGGGCATTTAGGTTATTTCCATAATTGAGCTATAGTAAATTGCACTGCAATAAACATGGGAGTGCAAGTTTCCTTTCAAATTAGTGTTTTTGAATTTTGGGGCTACATGCTGAGGAGTGAAATTACTGGATTGAATGGACAATCCATTAATGTTAAGACATCTCCATACTGCTTTCCATAGAGCTGACCAATTTACATTCCCATCAGCAATGTTGGAGGGTTCCCTTTTCTCTACATCCTGTTTCTGGCCTGTTTGATATGGGCCATTCTCAAAGGTGTGAGATGGTGTCTCATAGTGGTCTTGATGTGCATTTCTCTAATAATGAGTGATGGTGAACATTTTTTCACGTGCCTATTTGCAGTCTGAATGTCTTCTTTGTAGAATATATTTTACCTTTGTAGGAGATATTATTTTGCTAGATTTGACTCATTACTCAGTAGTAAGAAAACTGGGGAAACCCTTAGTCTGTTACCAAGAATAATACTTCTGCCAATTCTGTGTATGACTTTCATGTCTTCCAAAATCTTGATAGTGAATTCAACAAAAGAACCTGTGACAAACCTCGGAAACCTCTCTCTAGGGTAATTGCAGCTTTATCATCCATACTTTCCAGTTGGAATTATTTATAATTCACTGAACTTGAGATCTAGCCTGTATGTCTCTGTTCCACCAAGATGTCATGAGAAATGGTTAGCTACCTTGCTAAGAGTGGATAAATGCATCGCATCTGTTAGAGTTCTCTGGTCTACTGGTGTGGATCAGTGGGGAGAAAGACACAGACAGAGAGGTGTGCATCTGATAAATTCATTTACAGTGAACTCACAGTCTTAGCATGTTTAAAGATCAATGGCACTCTGTGACGGCTTGTTCCCAGTGCTCGCATACGTATTTTCATGGTGCCTTTGAGACTCTTGCTAGGGTTGACGACCATCTTGCCAAGCTATCGTGTGCAGAGCTTGCTTTCTGGGGCCATTGTGAAGATGAGAATGCAGCCTTCTGCCCCCTTCTGTTTCCCTGGCTCCCTGAATGTCAGTGGCAGCACTCCCAGTTGGGCTGTGTCACTTCACACCTCCCCTCAGCTTAATGTGCTCTGTTCAGCACTGATGATGATGCATCTCAGGATTCTTGGGAGGGACTCTTTCCTAGTATTCACCACTCCCAAGTGTTTGACTCTAGCCAAGCAATTATTTGTTTTTATTAAATATGTTTTATTAAACATTTTTGTGACTGTCACTTCGTTCTTTGAGATACAACTTAAATGTGACTGCTCCAGTGCAGCATTCCACACGTCTGCCGCCCACTTGAATCTCTCCTCCCTCCTACAAACTTTAACATGTGTTTACCTGGTTCCCTTCTTTTGGGTGGGTTATTTTTGTCTCCCCCCCAACTATGTGTTTTTGAGACCATGTGGGGGTATACATTACTTTGACAGCCCTCAAGATGCTTTGTTTGCTCTCCTGCCAAACAGCCTTCATTAAAAATTTGCTTCTTTATTGTATTCTTTATGATAGTTGAAGATGCCCACGCTGGAGTGTCCAAAGGAAACAGCAAACAGACAGTTTGGAGGGGTTACTTGGTATGTTACTTTGAACTTACTTGTATTTTTGCAGCAGACTACAAGAAAATAAGAGTAACTCAGCAAATGTACTTTGAGAAGGGTGTGTGTGTGTGTGTATGCACTTTTTATTGCTTTTTTTTTTGAGATTGAGTTTTTAATGTTTACTTTTTCCCTCAGGCTAGCTTACTAGCATTAATGAATGTTGACTTAAGTAATCTTTATTTTTGAACCTTGCATGATGCAATAGAGCATCGTAAGTTTTCTCAGCTGTAAGTTTTCACCAGCCTGATGCTGTGGAAAGTGACTTGTGTGTTCCTTTCCCCATCTTATTTTAGACAACAGATAAAGAAGTCCCAGGATTGGTGCTAATGCAAGACTTGACTTTCCTGAGTGGATTTCCACCTACTTTCAAGGAAACAAATCAGCTGAAAACAAAATTGCCAGAAAACCTTTCTTCGAAAATAAAACTGGTAAGAGCATAGGAGACAGAGCAGTCAGCACAGCACGTCTCACATAATGCAGGGCCCTGCTGTCGCGGCCCATCATGCTCAGAGTTCAGCCAACTCTCAGGAGAGCAGAAGGCCCTGCTCTCCACACGCAGCCTGAGGCAACGTGGCGTGCGCCTTGAACAAGGAGTATCAGCCAGTCTTCCCCTCCCCGGGGGAGATTTGTCTGGGTTCCCAGCCTCGTCTCTGGAAGCCAGTGCTCCTGGGGGGGTCCAGCTGATTCTCCGTCAACATTCATTGCAGGCCACTTTCAAGATTCCAACACTTATGATCAATTTCAGGCATTAGGACCCCTGGTTTTTAAGAGTATGGAGAGAAAATGAGAAAGAAGATGTCAGCTTTGGAACCCAGTTCTTCAAGTGACTTTGCTCACGTCTCACTTCCTGGTGTTATTATGAGGGCTCCGAAAAGGGAATTTCCTATCTCTGGACTCCCTGTCCATTTAGATAGTGTTTATTAAATGCCCGTGGGGTGCCTGTGGTGTGCTAAGGATCACTGAGTGACTAAAACACTTAAAGAATTTGGGGTTGTGATCACTTCCAAATAACTACACTTATGCAGAGTGCCATGGGCTGTAGGTGTGCTGGGGGCCACGAAAGCTCTGCAGAACAGAGCATTTTAGCTGGCCTTGAACATAGCAGCTGTTCTCCCAGCAGAGAAAGGTGAGGGGGGCCGTTCCAGGCCGAGCAGTGGACCGGAGGCTTGCAAGTCAGCCGTGTTTCAGAGAACAAAGGCCATTGTTCTAGAGCCCAGAGCCCTGTCAGGGATTTTGCTGGTGCCGAGGTTGAGGTCTGATTGAGAAGCTCTGCAAGGGAACCTTGATCCTGGAGGCCAGAAGCCTCTTCAGGAGGAGGAAGAGGACCTGATCTGTTTGTTAGGAACCTATTAGGGAAAGGTGTAGCAGGTAGAGATTGGATAAGAGGTTGGCTGGAGGCAGGAAAACCTGTTTGGTCACTTCTGCCATAGTCCAGCTAGCCAGTCGGGTTCCATGTGTACCTCAGCAGGAGTGCCAATGATGAGAATGGTTCCAGAAACATGTGAGAGAGCCCCTCAACACAACCTGGTGACACGCTAGCTGTTGGCATTAACTGCGCTCAGAGCTTCATGGGGAGAAGAAGGAAGGAAGGAAGGAGACCCTGAGCTCAGTCTGAGTGTGTAATATTTGAGGTACTTTGAGGCATGTGGGAGGAAAGAGCTGTTAAGTGCTAAACTTCAGGACCTGAACAGCTGAGCCTTTTTGCATTCCTGGGCTCCTCGTGGACAAGGCCGGTGGCCCCAGAGCCACCTAGGGCTCGGTTCTGTCCCAGAGGCCCTCTTCCAGCCTTGAGTGTCTCAGGTGCTGTGTGTTCACCTTTGTGTCTGAATTAATTACCTTGGGACCTGGCTCAAGAAATGCTTGAGGGAATGAGCGAGAAGAAAAGCTGTGGCTGTTGGAACAGCAGCTAAGTTCAGTGTCTCGGACGGTAAAGGGAAATGTTGCAGCAGTGTGATTACAGTGTTCCCTAGCCAGAATAAGAAGCAGCACAGTGAAGGGCACCATATTTCCTGCTTGCACTAACTAACCATTGAATCCTTCTTTTTTCCTTTGGTTTTCACTTTTGGCTACAAAGCCAGGAACTGGTTCCCCTACAGTAACTGTTTTCGTGTGAGATTAGGGTTATTCTGGATGGAAGAAGGGCTTCTATGTTTACAGCATAGTTTTAAGAGGCTGGTTTATTTTATTATTATTTTTTTTTATTTTTTTATTTTTTTTAAATAAGCATTTTATTTTATTTTTTTTTAGTAACCTTTTTTTTTTTTTAATAGAGGCATGCTTTATTTATTTGTTTGCTGGTTTGTTTGTTTTGTTTTTGTTTATACATGCACTGGGTACAGTCAGAAGCGCGGGAGGGTGAGAGAATTCACCAGGGCCAGAGCGGGGAGCAGAGCAGGCAGAAGGACCGAAGTACACTGCTGAGGGGAGCAGCGGGCGGCAGGAGAGGTCTGCGCGCCATGTGGGACCCTCCTCCTGTGGCCGGGGAGCAGCCGGGGATCGAACCGGCGCCGGAGAGGCCGCGGGCAGCTTCGCAACCCAGCGCTCAACCGCTGCGCCACCGGGGAGGCCCGAGGCTGGTTTATTTTAGATGGCAAAATTGGTCTGTGTTGCATGGTTGTAAATTCCTGGATTATATTTGAAAATCTGCAGCCATCTGTGTGAGGAACAATGTATCATTATACCCTTCTGTCCATACCAAGCACGTATTTGTTCTTTTTCCCACCCCATATTAATAGTTACTGGCAATAACAACTGATTCTGGAATGATGTCACCCTGAATAGGGTTTAGCCCTATCTTTCAGGTTATTGGAATGAAGCCTGACAGTAAAATAGAAATGCGTTATCTCCATGGATATTCTTTCCAACTGGCTCTATAATTTTATCGCCATAGTTCCTTTAGCAAATTTGAATGAATTTCTCATAACCAAATGAATGTTTACTTGACCACCTTAGGATGTGTGCATTATGAAATCATCAAAAACCCTCCCTCGCCTCTGGCATACACTCCAGCCCTTGTATGCATAAATAAATAAATCTTCTTTAAAAAAAAAAAATTCCAGGTTTTTAAGAGTAATTAAGATGTCCAGATCTGGGGTGCCCCCTCGTGGCTAGAGAGGGCACCCTTTTCTGATAACTGATTATTTCAGCAAAGAAAATCTTTTTCATACATAGTCTCAAACTTGTGCCATCTGTCTTCCTGTTATTGATTAGTTACATTATGAAGATGTCTGTGAAGTTTCAAGATAGTTTCTCAGAATAAAAGCAGTTTGGTTAAGATAGAGATATTTTCCCCATAAATTTCAAATTGAATTAGAATATTAAAGTGCTACACTTGTTTACTCTAGAATAGTGCTTTTTGCTGTCCAGGGAGCCTCAGAGGTGCTGTGGGAGTAGGGAGGGAGCAGGGAGCGGCTGTAGACATCTTCCAATATTCTCCATGCATAGCCAGCCTCCCTCCCTGTCCCCCACACTGGGAGGGCAGGGTAACTGGGAGGCAGGGTAACTACAGTGACAGTAGTCAGCAGTGGGTGCTTAGTGTATGCCAGCACCGTCCCAGTGAAGGGAAATAATCAGGAGGACAACACACATGTGTACACTTTGTGGTAGGTCATTACGTATAATGACCTACATTATACATAATGACCTACAGAATAAGGAGAAGTGATATAAATGAAATTCTAGCTCCAGTCTCTAGTTTTTGGCCTACATAAATGCAGAAAACTTTGAGGAAGTATAGTTGGGCTAAGTATAGTCATGTAGCAAATACAAGTGCTCAGAATGAGCCCTTAATAATTGGGTTCGCTTCTGTTTTTATAAATTAAGAAAGAAAGCTGGAGGTTTTGTTGAAAGAGGCAGTTCAGCAGAAGGATTTTGCTGTAGTTCTAGATTAGTGATTTCCAGCCCTTTCCTCTTTCTAATCTCAGAAAGCTTTTTTAAAATAGGAAATTGATACAGGGTTAGCGCTTAAAATGAATCAAGGGTGGTATGGAGTCTGGTGAGATGGGGGGGGGAGGGAGCCTTTTATAAAACTTGATGTTTGTGATGTTCTTGTCTAGATTTGTGGTTGCTTCAGAAGCTTTGTTTCCAAGTGCTTCCTATGGAGCCATCCCTTCCTGTGGAAGCACTTCAACAAACCTCCTCTTAGGTGGGGGCAGAAAAGCTGCTCAGACACTCCACCAGCAGGCTGTGAGCTCCACCAGTTCCAGCGAACTCACTTCACAGGGTTGTTTTCCCCCCACACTGATAATGTTCTAGAACAAAGGTCACCAAAAGGTGACCAGATATGTTTTCTTTGAATGGATGACAATCAAATATATTTGAGCCAGCACTGAAAATTGGGGCGTTTCATATAACACCAGGGAATCTGGTCTCAGGATATCTGGGGCGTGGAACAGTGGCTGCTGCTTTCAGAGGGGGCCTGAGATGCCTTGTATCCATAGCTACCACTCCCTCTACCCATTCCTTTAGGAAATGTGTCTAACCCATAGACTTTTTTTTTTTTTTTTTTTGGTAATATTGTCTTGCTAGTGTGTGTGTGTGTGTGTGTGTGTAAACATATGTATATAAATATTTTAATCTTTAGTTTATATATATAATGTGTTGGGCATATATATGTACACACATATATGTATATAATATATATATATGTACTGAGATTAAACTTGAGAATTTAAAGGTGTCTCAGTTTTTCCACTTGTAAACCCCTCTTATTATTTTACAGTTGCAGTTGTATTCAGAAGCCAGTGTGGCACTTCTAAAATTGAATAACCCTAAAGATTTCCAGGAACTGAGTAAGCAGACTAAGAAGAACATGACCATTGATGGGAAAGAACTGACCATCAGTCCTGCGTATTTATTATGGGATCTGAGTGCCATCAGCCAGGTAGGGGACGCAAGTATTCTTTTAAAACACAAGTGGGTGGTGGGGGTGTCTACACGGTTAATAATGTATATAGGTCACTAGATTACAAAGGATTTACAAAGAGGAACTTTTCCTAATTTTTCAGTCACTGCCTTTGGTTAACATCAATTGACGTGACCTAGAATCAGATCCAAGAACCTTTTCTAAATAGTGTGTTATAGAAATGCCATGTGCCTGTGTTGTTTTAAACATGGATGAGGCTTTTGCATTTTGTCTAATGTTTAAAAAGCAGGACTTGGTCTGTCCAAGTCGGCCCAGGCCCCTGGCGGATGGGACAGAGGGGACAGGCAGGAGAAGGAGGTACCACTCGGTGCTTCTTCATGCCAAATGCTTTTCTCAGTCGAAGCAGGATGAAGACGTGTCTCCCAGCCGTTTTGAAGATAACGAAGAGCTGAGATACTCCCTGCGGTCCATCGAGCGGCACGCGCCATGGGTCCGAAATATTTTCATTGTCACCAACGGGCAGATTCCATCCTGGCTGAACCTGGACAATCCCCGCGTGACAATAGTGACGCACCAGGTGCGCGCTCTGCAGCCCCCCCCAGGCTGTGGCCTCCTTTCCTGTCTTCCACTTTTCAGTTATTTATCCCTCATTTTATCCACCTTACCTTCCTCACCTCTGCTTCTACCTTTCTTAAATCCTGCCGTCCATCTCCTTCCCTTTTTTCTAAAACCAAGAACAAACAAAAAAATGCTTATCCACTCTTTTTTTTTTTTTTTCTGTTAAAAGGATATCTTTCAAAATTTGAGCCACTTACCTACCTTTAGTTCCCCTGCTATTGAAAGTCACATCCATCGCATCGAAGGGTTGTCCCAGAAATTTATTTACCTGAATGATGACGTCATGTTTGGGAAGGATGTCTGGCCGGATGATTTTTACAGTCATTCCAAAGGTCAAAAGGTGAGTACCTAGCTCAGTCATCATTTAGACATTATAAATGGTAAATCAGGAAATCATCAGATACAATGCTTTATGCAAATGCAAGTTTGATCAAATGTGTATTTTTGAGTGCTCAGTTCAGGACAGTGAAGTGAGGAGTAAAGGAATAGTAGTTCTTGCTGCCTGTATTCTCAGATGCTCAGAACCCAGTCATTTTCCTGACTCTACATTTTCTACAGCAGCGATAGAAAAAAAGTAAGATCACCATGAAACCCCAAGTCATGGTTGCAGTGTCAGCAAGATAGAAAGTTGACTCAATTTTCTGCTTAAAGACATGGATGATGGGGAGGAGAAAGGGTCAAGGGGATGAACGAGATGGTTGGGGGTGGTGGGGGCTGGGGCATGGATGAAAGTTCATTGAAGGCAGTCTGTCTCACTCTGGATTTTAGAGGCGGGATGGAGAGGTGGTTGTGAGCACAGTTATGGAAACCAGCTGTGTGGGACAGTCCTGGGCAATGACTTGGCCTCTGCTTCCTGTCTGCAGTGTGGGGGAGATAAGATGACCCTTAGCGATGTTAGGAGAGTTCAGTGGTAAGCTGGAGACCTACACCCTTAGGTTTATAAGTCACAGAGCACCACAGCCGTCATGTACATTGCACAACGATGCTACTTCTGTGGCTGTCCCTGCTCTTCCAGGGTGCACATGCCCCGCTCCCCTGGTCAGGTGCCTCCTGTGTGTTGGACTGCTGGATGCAGAGCTAAGCTGTGTCTTGACAGTGGAGACACATGGTCTGACTGTGCACAGTGATTGCTTTGCCAGCAGCTGTGCCCTGAGTGCTTAGAGAGGGATCACAGGAGGTTGAGATCAGAGGGGAGAGGGAAGAACATGCATCTGAATGGAAGTGAACTTGCAGAGTAAGGAAGAGCTAATTAAATGAAGAAACACATTCCAAGCAGAACATGCAAAGGCATGGAGCCTCTGAAAGCGGGGGGTCAGGGGGGTGTCACATGGGGTAGAGAACATGTGGCTTTCCCCTCAACATGCGAGAGCATGTGGCTTTCCCCTCAACATGCGGTGCTGAATTTATCTCAGGACCTAAAATGTGGAGATGACCATCCGAAGCTCATCTGCTGCTGTTCTCAGCCTTGAGATGAGGTCATGCATAAATACACAAAACTGGCATTACTGACATTGTCATGGAAAAGCAGTAACTTGTGTGGTATACTTCGCACCTGCTCTGGCACACTAATGAGTCCAAAGTGTTGCTATTTTATTTAAAATAGATTATAAGACTGTAAGAGGCTAATCCAGAGCTGAGTGAGGGCTTACCTACTCTCCTTGAGTAATGGAAAAGAAAGAGTAAATGTGCTTTGTGAGAATGGTCACCAGAGCAGGACTTCGAAAATGACAGGGGCAGGCTAGCCTGAAGCAGAACGTGCCCCTTGAAGGCAGACAGCCCATGGAAAATGTTAATATGTTCTAGAGACTTGAGTTCTGTACTTTTTAAAGAACCCTAACGAGAGTTTTAAAAGTGTTTCATTTTCCTTCTGGTTTTATGGTAGGTTTATTTGACATGGCCCGTGCCCAACTGTGCTGAGGGCTGCCCCGGCTCCTGGATTAAAGACGGCTATTGTGACAAGGCTTGTAATAACTCAGCCTGTGACTGGGATGGTGGTGATTGCTCGGGTAAGGGTGTGTGCAAGGAGGTTTGCTCTCATTCTTGGAACATCTTGTTCCTCATCGTCACCGAACATGCACAGTGACCGGGAAGTGTTGCTCAGGTGTCATTCTCTCAGCACTCCAGAGACTCCGTGCAGGGGAAACCACCACATGGCCAATTCACTCACCTTAGCCACTGCAGGCATTTCCCACTGTTGGCCTGTACTTGCAGGTGCCTTTTCTTGCTATTCAAAATACGAAAATCAGAAATAGCTTACGTATGTGAGCCTCAGAACAAGTCATCCCTCTGACTGGCCCTGATGGGGTGGCCGGTGACTCGCAGCACAGGTCACCACAGGTCAGCAAGTGCCAAGGAGATGTGAAAGAAATAAACACCGGCTCAGCCTGTCTCCTCCCTTTCTTACATAATCAAATTTGAACATTTGAAATTAGCAAGTTTTCACACTTTCTGCCTTCCAATTTATAAAGTTTATAAGACCTTTTTTCATTGTAATCATCCCAGCCAATGTACTTACTGTGATTTTGTTAAATATCAGTTTGACTCAGAGTTGCATTTCTGAAGAACCTATGGACAATGGCATTACAAGGGAACCTAATTGTACTTCTAGGGTTCACATCTAGTCGGTACCAAGCCTGGTCATCTCCTGCCCAGCCCACTGTGAAATGATGCCTCCCCCGACCCTTTCAGTTTGTTTTCTTCTTAAGCTATGCAAAGTCATATGCCAGAGAATGGAGTGATCTTTTTCTGACTGAAATTCTGGCATCACTCTTGAAAATGTTATTAAGAAATGAAGAACCGTCTTTTTCAAGGTCACAGTGAGGTTCTGTCTTCCTTGCCCCGCTGCAGGTAACAGTGGAGGGAGTCGCTATATCGCAGGAGGTGTAGGCACCGGGAGCATTGGAGTCGGACAGCCCTGGCAATTCGGTGGCGGAATCAACAGTGTCTCTTACTGTAACCAAGGATGTGCAAACTCCTGGCTCGCTGATAAGTTCTGTGACCAAGCCTGCAATGTCTTGTCCTGTGGGTTTGATGCTGGTGACTGCGGGCAAGGTATATTTATTGCTCTGGAAACATATTAAGAATAAGGGAGTAAAAATCCTTGATAAGTAGAAAGGATTTTTTTTTTTTTAAAATTATTCTCTGTGTATCACTTTCCCAGCCTAGCATTCAAACTGATTGTGAGTTAGAAGTAAGAGGAGGACACAGATTTTTAGAAAACAATAGATACTAAACTGTGTCTTTTTCTGTTACTGCTGTAGGGAAGATATTTTGACTCAGCAAAGTGACCTTTGTTTAAAATATATGGTGAAGCTTGAATTTGGAAACAATAAAAGGAGACTGATAAATCTCTAGGGTGTTTCTAATTGGATTGATAGCTTATTTAATACTCATTGATCACTTATTAAGAGAGGTTGTTTTGGCAGAAAGTTGTGTTTTTTCAAATGAATGAAAATTGGAAGTCAACCATTAGAATTTGCTGCCAAGAATCACACTGTGTCTCTGAAGTGTGTTGAAGTTGGCCTCCCTGTTGATAGTTGTGATTGCCCCAGGTAGTAAAAGGAGCCTACCCAAGGGAGCTCTTGTGTTAAAAATTTCTGATTACATTAAGGTTTTGATTATTTTGTTATTTAAAGTCACTCTTAGGAAACTCAAACCCCAAGAATGAAAGGAAAATGGAATTGGGGGGAATGCCTAGTTTTTAAAAGTCGTGTTTGTGTTTTTTTCTCTAGATCATTTTCATGAATTATATAAAGTAACTCTTCTCCCAAACCAGACTCACTATATTATTCCAAAAGGTGAATGCCTACCTTATTTCAGCTTTGCAGAAATAGCCAAAAGAGGAATCGAAGGCACCTATAGTGATAATCCAATCATTCGACATGCTTCTATTGCCAATAAGTGGAAAACCGTCCACCTCATAATGCACAGTGGAATGAATGCCACCACAATACACTTTAACCTCACACTTCAAAAAGCAAACAACGAAGAGTTCAAAATCCAGATAGCAATAGAGGTGGACACAAGAGAGGAACCGAAACTGAATTCCACAACCCAAAAGTCTCCCCCAAGTTTGGGTAGCCCCACAATGCTTCCAGAGGTAGAAGTCCTGTTTGAGGATATTCCTGAAGAAAAGCGCTTCCCAAAGGTTAGGAGACACAATGTGAATACAACGGGAAGGTTCCAGGAGGAGGTGAAAATTCCCCTGGTAAATATTTCCCTCCTTCCAAAAGAGGTCCAGTTGAGTCTTAACAACTTGGATCTGCAGCTCGAAGCTGGGGACATCACCATGAAGGGGTACAATGTGTCCAAGGCGGCCTTGCTGAGGTCTTTCCTGATGAAGTTACCGGCAAGTGAAATGAAAATCTATCAAGCTATAGTAACAGATCAAAGAAATGGCAGTTTGGAGACCCCGCTGGAAAAACGGGTTCACAAAAGCAACTTGCCAGACAGCTTAGGAATATCTAAAAGATCACAAAGGATGACTTCCCCAGCAGCGGATGGCCACCCCCGTAGTCAGAACCCACGCCAGGACTCTCAGACCCAAAAGCTCAGAGGCGCAAGTGTATTACGAGAGCAGCTCTCATCTCTGATTGACCCCCTGGAAAAGCCCATAACAAATGAAAAGAAAGTCACAGGGGAAGAACAAAAGAAAAACAGAATGGAGGAAAATGTTAGAAGTCACATAGGTGTTAATGAAGCATTACCTGGAAGAAAACTGCAACATTATGTGGACGGCTACCTGGGCTTTTTGCCATGGGAGAAAAAAAAGTATTTCCAAGATCTTCTTGATGTAAGTTCTATCCAGCTTTATTTCTTCCCATGCTCAGGAAAAATAAATAACCTTGTAAATTGTAATAACAGCTCCTGTTCATTCAGCCCTTCCCTGAGGCAGCCACAGAATGAAATACTTCTCTGCTACCCTTTCTTTTAACTGGCCCAGCAACCGTTAACCATAAAAATACTTCATAAGGGGATCTGCTGTTGTTATCCTCATGTTACTGTTTTTTTTTCTTTTTTAAAGATTGATTATTTATGCATACAAGAGCTGGGGTACAGGCCAGAGATGCAGGGTTTGAGAGGATTCACCAGAGACAGAGTGAGGAACAGAACAGGCAGACTGACCGAAATACACTGCTGAGGGGAACAGCGGGCGAGACAGGAGAGGTCTGCTGCTCCATGTGGGTTGCTCCCTAGCCGGCTGGGGATTGAACTTGTGCTGCCGAGGCTGTGGATTGCTTCATAGTGCCACCAGGGAGGGCCCCTCATGTTACTGTTTAGGTATGACTAAGTAAGGGATTCAGCCTGAGGCAAATCCTGAATGGTAGCACAGGGATGGTATCTTATCTTGTGTTATGAGTTTTAAAAAATGCCTTTGCTTACATTGTGCCCTCAGAGCTGATATTTTCCTGGCTTTATTGAGGTGCAGAGAAGTTCATGAGCTTACCAAATGGCACACCAGCAAGGCAGCGTGAGCCAGGCCTCAGTTGGAACGCTCTTCCTCCCGTGCCCTGGCCACCACATGCCTGGTGTCATTTGTATGTCCCCAAGAGCTGTTACCTTGCTCACTGCCAGGGATGCCAGAAGAGTAGACCATGGAAGACACAAAGAGCAAGTTAGGAGGACAGATATGTCAGCAGATAATTGTCACTTGTGATAAGTATCTCTGTTGAGGTGTAAACAAGGAGCCCACAGGGAAAAATCTCTTATCTTTGCCTAGTAGTAACTGGGATAAACTTCTGAAGGAAGCTGACCTTTGAAGGATGGGTCAGAGTTGATAGTTTAAGAAGATCCTGCGGTCTCTGGCCAGAGCAGACAGTGAAGGAAGCAGAGCCCAGTGTTTGGCTGGGAAAGAAGGGAGGGAAGTGGTGGATTTATTCTCAGTGTCTTCAGGAACTACCTTGTATCTGGCGTGGTAGGCATTTACTAATTGTTGAATGAAAGACTGCAGAATTCTTGTATAGGTTTATTTTCTCACTTTCTCTTTTTTTAATTAAAAAGGCATTATAGGCCAGTGGAAAAATTGCAAGCAATGCAAAAAAAAAAAAAAAAAATCCCCCCAAAAGAAACAGTTAAAAGAGAAAAAACTTTCCTGCTTTCCTTCCTTGATCTCTCTAGTTGAACTAATACTATCCACTGTTTGGTGGGTATCCTTCCAGTATTTTTCTGTAGAATGCAAGACACTACTCTTCTGATCTACTACAATAATATGTGGGTAAACTGCCATGGTAAATGCCACTGTTCTCTTAACACCTACAGATTATTTATAGTGTTTTGCAGTTTCAAAGAGTGTTGCAATAAGTATTCTTGTACATATATCTTACTATTGAGGAAGTTTTTATTCCTGTAGGGGGAACTACTGGGTTAAAGGGAGGGACTGGAGCATATGAAATTTGACTGAGTCCTTATAAAATGTTGCACCTCTTAATACTTCCTCTAACATTACACAAGAGTCCTTGTTTCCCCACAAGCTGACCAACACAAGTTAATACCAATCTATTTACATTTTGAACAGTTTGAGTAGCAAAATACTCCATCTGTATAATGTGTTCACATTCTTTGCCTATTCAATTTTGCCTCTTAGTGGTTTTGCTAGGACTCTTTACATCTTATAATATTAACACTATTACATTGTGAAAGCAATTTTGAATTCTAGACCTTGAATTCAAAACTAAAGTTATTTCTTGCTTTGATGTCACCGTGGAAACAAAAATTGAAGGTACCATCAAATTTTACTTAAAAATTTTCTAAAGGTTGAATTGAGTTGACTTGGGAAATCTCAAAGAAGACCCCATAAATAAACTTCCATCACCCAGATGTTGCTGTCAAGCCAATGTTGGTGATAATGTCATTGAAGTTCATTTTTGTCCTGCTCTCAGGATACTTAAGTGACCTTGGTGCCTATTTCACTTGCCCCTCATGTACAGTTAGTGACTAGCCACCAGCTCATTACATAAAAGCACACCTTTATCTCTTGTTCACAAAGTACACTTGTGCACTCAACGTAATGCTGTGATATGTGGAATTCTCTATTCAGGAAGAAGAGTCATTGAAGACACAATTGGCATACTTCGCTGATAGCAAATACACTGGGAGGCAACTAAAAGATACGTTTGCAGATTCCCTCCGATATGTCAATAAGATTCTAAACAGCAAGTTTGGATTCACATCTCGGAAAGTCCCTGCACACATGCCTCACATGATTGACCGAATAGTTATGCAAGAACTGCAGGATATGTAAGTCTCCATGTGCTCATAGCCGAGGCCGCTTGAGATTTGTATCTGGGCTGTGCTTTAAATTGATGTCTCTAATATGGGGTATCTAATATGTGAAGGTATCATTGAAGTAAATGGGGAGAAAAAAGATTCTGACCCCACAAACATTAGGTACTGGGTATATTTTGAATATCCAGAGCTCATTATGTATTATATTTGGACAGGTTCCCTGAAGAATTTGATAAGACGTCCTTCCACAAAGTGCGCCATTCTGAGGATATGCAGTTTGCCTTCTCTTATTTTTACTATCTCATGAGTGCAGTTCAGCCACTGAACATATCTCAAGTTTTCGATGAAGTTGATACAGACCAATCTGGTGTCTTATCTGACAGAGAAATCCGAACACTGGCAACCAGAATTCATGACCTGCCTTTAAGTTTACAGGTGCTATATTTTTCCCCCCTAAACCATGTGATACTTTATCTTTTCCCCTACAATTTCTGTTTCCCTGCTATTCCCATTTATAGCTAATGCAAGTATAAGTATTTCTTAATGTTTAATCAGGCTGTTCACAACTAGTCCATTTTCAGTGCGAGTATTAAAATCTAACTTCAGGTTTTGTATTTTATGGGATTTTTTTTTTTTAGGGTTTTAGTAGGGATTATTACAGTGTTATTCAGAAAAGAGCCAGACCACACCTGTTCTTTTGGACCATCTTGTGACAAGTCCATTTACGGGCTTTGTGTTTAGCTGGCTGGAGATGTCAGCACTGTCCCCTCTACCCTAGCATCCTATGGTCCCAGGAGTAGGAAACTCCTCAGCAGTGAGTGCCAAGATGAATCTAGGTGCAAGGCACACACTGTTGGGCCCCTGGACCATCCTGTTCTTTGTTAGGGTTTGTCTAAGAATCGTGTGGTCAGGCTATTTGAAGGCAGTATTTAAATAATTTTTGGAGACTGTCACATAATTTTTATTTTAATAACCACAATCATTACTTACAATGCACATAGGTTTAAGCACCTCTTATTTTTCTTTGCTAGGATTTAACAGGTCTCGAACACATGTTAATAAATTGCTCAAAAATGCTTCCTCCTAATATCACTCAACTACACAACATTCCACCAACTCAGGAAGCATACTATGATCCCAATCTGGTAAGTGGCATGGGCACTTTTTTGTAAATGGAAAGTATATTCTTATTAGATGTTATTTATATCATTTCTGTAGAGCACTTCAAAAACTGGAAGCAGGGTCTATGTTTACATGTCTTTGCTGGAAAGTAGTAGCACAGATGACCCAGAATCACTTGTACCTTTCATTGGAATACCTTTTTTCTCCCCCAGTAGATGTTAAGCTGAGATTAGTTGCTTTATTTCTGTTCACATCCTATTCGCTAAGAATGACCAATGATAACCCCGACACATTCTCATTGGCCTGGGAGAACAATCCTGAGGTTAAACAAAACCAAGGGGATGTTCATCAGACAGAGTAACATCTTTCGTCAAAGTAAAATTGCTTGATGCTGGCACTTTTAAATCTTACCAGTGGTGGCAGCAGGTGATTCACACACAACTACATTGGAGTGTCGGTTGGCTAAAGTGATTGGGAGACCGTTAGTTGTAAGATACATGCCAGTTTCAGTGAAGTGAAAATTAAAAAAAAAAAAAAGCATCTAAAATTCATGAAACAAGAGCATAATACAGCCATTGTCTTCTAATCATATCCACTAATATGATGCTTATGGTTAATTTTTACTTACATATGGACAAATGCTTAGAGAATACAATTAGGCTAGGGAAAATAGAAAGGAGAAAGTGTGCTGGGCTTCTGACTCAACCCCCACTATACAGAATGTGCAGAAGTGTGTTCTTTTCTAAGGAAGATGATGTACACTTAGAAAAAAATTACCCATCTTGCTCTATTACAGGCCTGAATAGATTACAGAGGGATTTTTAGTTTTCTTTTGAAAAGAAAATGAGCAGAATAAGATTTTAGTGTTTGCCAAATTTCTGGCCTGAGATTTAGAATCAACATGGCCTTTGAATACTAAAGATTAAGTAAAGGCTGCTTTACTAATGATTATATTACTCTTGAGGCTAATGCAAATAAACTTTAATTTTTTTTTCTGCATAGAAGAGCTGGGGTAGGCCAGACATGTGGGGGGTGAGAGGGTTCACTAGAGACAGAGTAGGGAGCAGATCAGGTGGATCCACTGAAATATACTGTCTAAGGGGAGCAGAGGATGAAAAAGGAGAGGTCTGCTGTGCCATGTGTGTTAGCTCCCTGTCTGGAGATCAAACTCAGGCTGTACTTGTGACAGTGCTGAGACTTAACCCCTAGACTATCAGGGAGGCCCCAAATAAACTTTTTAGAGCATGAGGACTAGTTATACTGGCCGCAGTAGTTAACATTACTTGACAGAGCTCTTAGCCAGGGTGTTGGCTTCATTACTGCAGTTAATGTATGGGATCACATTAGTGATTGCACAGACTCTACTGCAACCTATGTATGGAATCACATAGAAGTTAAAGTGTTCTCTAAATAGACTATAATAATTCACAGTTTAGCTCAATGAGTATCAAATAGCCCATTTCAGTATAGTTTACGATAGAAATTTTCTTTCTGAAAAAATTATAACATGACTGTGTGTAGTAATGTGTAATTAAAATAAGACTTTATTTACTAAAATAGGCAGTTAACCCTTGGGCCGTCGTATGCCAATATGTGTTTTTAGAATACTGCATTAAAGTATTCATCTTGCTACTGAGCCTTGGGCACCCTTTTAAGTTTGTGCCTGAAGTGAAGGCTGTGCTCACTCCACCCTATTCTTGACTTTGGTGTAATGTCTGTATTTCCTCACAGCCACCAGTCACTAAGAGCCTGGTTACCAACTGTAAACCAGTAACTGATAAAATCCATAAAGCATATAAGGACAAAAACAAATATAGGTAAGTAGTAGATATGCTTCTGTTTGATTAGTTTAAGATTATTTTAAGTCTGGCTTATTTTCCTAATTTTACAATAGTTTACCTATGAAGCGTTCTTTCAAATTTATGTAAGACTAGTTCCTTTAGTAATATTGAAAGATTTAGTCATTGCGAGGCTCTTGTGTCTGTTCAAATTTTATAATACGCTTTTCTTATTGAAATCTTGTTTCAACATTCACATGAGTATTTAAGTCCTTTAAATATGTTTTGATAATTAGGTTTGAAATCATGGGAGAAGAAGAAATTGCTTTTAAAATGATTCGTACCAACGTTTCTCATGTGGTTGGCCAGTTGGATGATATAAGAAAAAACCCCAGGTACTGTTTTTTACTGTTAATAAACTTCATTTTTGAAGAGCACATTTAGCAAAAAAAAAAAAAAAAAAAAAAAAAAAAAAAAACAGCAAAATGGAGCGTAAAGCACAGAGAACTGCCAGAACTTTAAAATTATCTTTAATCATGCAAATGAGCATAAACAAAGGACAACAGGAGTAGATAGAAGGGAGTGACTTCTTTCTGTTGGGCACAGATGGAAATTGTAGTGTTTGAAGTGAAGCTAGAGCAGTGCATTGAGATGGTCCCTGTACAGTCAGTATAGACGTCTGAAAGTTGGGAGATGAGAGCTGTTCAGCGAGGTGGAAGGCAGTCATACAGCCCACCTTGCCCACCCTTTCTAAAACAGACTCCCAAAGTAATTGTTTTGGTGATTAGATTTGTCTTCATAATTCAAAGTTAAGTTCAGTCTAGTTTCTGAAGAAAAAAGAAATGCCACCACAAATGTTAACATTGGCCTAGAAAGCTTCAGTTATTCCTGTGGGGATGAATAAAAGTTCAAGTTTCCATAATCCTTGATTGTATTAAAAACATAATAGCTTTCAAAGGGCATTTGGAAGCATCTGGGGAAATCTGAATACACTATTATTACCCTATTTTTTTTTTTTTTTTTAGCACCTCTTCTAAAATAAAGTCACTCTCCTTTATTCCACAAGATGGTTAACACACATCCAAGAAATTAACATAGATTATAAATAATACCATCTAATAGGTGCATTCATTGTATTTGATTGACCTATCTCTTTGGTATCCTTTATTGAAAGAAGTCCTTGAGTTTAGAATAGATAGAATAATGAACTTTTACAGCCCATCACTCAACTTAAATAAGGAATAACTTATGATTTCTCTTGTTTCATCTAAATATATCCACTCCTTCTCTATTACTTCCTGATTATTGTTAAGTAAATCTCAGATATTACATCATTTTATCTGTAAATATATAGATAAATATATCATTTTATCTGTAAATCTATAGAGAGGTATAATATATATACCTCTCTATATATTATTATATATAGAATTCTATCAGCAGATATAACAACTTGGGACATAAGCGCACTTAAAATATACTTGGGATCCATAGTTCTTGTTTTGTTAGATCAGGATAATTCTTATGATAAACCAGTGACTGGTTTCTGCCATTTCCAGGAAGTTTGTTTGCCTGAATGACAACATTGACCATAATCATAAAGATGCCCAGACAGTGAAAGCTGTTCTCAGGGACTTCTATGAATCCATGTTCCCCATACCATCCCAATTTGAGCTGCCAAGAGAGTATCGAAACCGTTTCCTTCATATGCATGAACTGCAGGAATGGTGAGTTCTTGTGTGTGTGTGTGTTTTAGAATGATGAAACTTCTTTAATGTGTTATTTGTTCTCATTTCTTTGTAAAAATGCACTTCATGTTGGAAATGTGTATTATATTAACATTTTAAAATGGCCTTCAGGGTTGAGTTTTAGACTTTGTCTCTGCTAAGCTAGTGTATTAATAACTCACTGATGACAGTGAAACTGTACGCAGGGTGACCTGTTTGCTTTCATCTCTGAACAGGAGGGCATATCGAGACAAACTGAAGTTTTGGACCCATTGTGTACTAGCAACATTGATTATGTTTACAATTTTCTCATTTTTTGCTGAGCAGGTAAGTTTCCTATATTTCATATGGATATAAAACAGTATTCCTTGGTTCATTAGAATCTGGTTCTTTTAGACAAAAAAGTTTACAATAAGTAAATTTCTGCCATTGGCTTATAGCTCCTATGTCAATATTTCGAAGTATTCAGCCAGCAAACCTAATAGCCTTTTTTATTCATCTGTCTTATAAATCCACTATCAGTGTTTTTTTTTGTTTTTTTTTTAACTTGGAACTCCATGGTTAATTTGCTGACTTTAAACTAAAACTGAAAAGCTCTAAAGGATCAGCACGTCATCTGTGGCATTTGTTGCAGAGAACAGGAGTCTGGGAGGCAGGAGAGTGAGAACAGAGGAGGAAAATAAATCCCCTGTCCTCTCTGCCACCCTATTCTCCACTTACTTGAATCAAATTTCTTAACCTCTACCACACTCACAAACAAGCCAGCCCAGTCTGCGTCTTTCTCTGTTCCACACCTTGCTTATAGTGACTTACGCTTGAACAGAGCTCTGCTTCTACCTCAAGATGGACTAGTGTTAGTGGGGTCCCCATTAAAATCATGAAGAACACATTTATTTTTTTCTCATTGAAACTTTATTATGATGGTGGTCAGGTTTTCTATATCAGATAAAGCACGGCCAACTCTTTCTATGAGAAAGAAGTGTTCAAGTTCTAAACTGCTAATTTACAAATAAACTTGCATTATAACCCACTTATAAATTCGGGATTGGGGGGAAATGGTGATAGGATTTTAATATAGGTTTTTTTTTGTTTTTTTGGTTTTTTTTTTTTTTAAGAATTCTATATTACATAGGTAGTCATTTTCAAACCCGGACAGTGTCTTAATGGCTGTGCAGAGCCAGTTCCACAGAAAGACTTGACAAATAGACAGCTTGGAAAAAAATATGCTTGGTGATGACTGTGGAAATCTGTAGCCATAGGTCTTTTTAAAAACTGAAGTTTGGGCCAAAATAATTTTAATCCTGGTGAGTTTAACGATCTTATGGGCTCATACCTAGGCTTTGTGACCCTACAAAGCCAAACAAAATTAGTGTTGGTTTTGTTTCGGGGGAGGGATGATGAAGACTTACTTGCTGTCTGTTTTTTGTTGTGTGTTGTTTTTTTTTTTTTTAAATGTATAATGCTGTAATGTATAATGGAAATGATTGAGGTCATAGGAGATTCAGAAAGAAAGTTTAATGTACTTTGTCTTTTGTCAACACAGAGCGTTAAGATTAATTTTCTGACTGTCATTGTTTAGCTAATTGCACTTAAGAGAAAGCTGTTTCCCAGGAGGAGGATACAGAAAGAAGCTAGTCCCGATCGAATCAGGGTATAGAAAATCTTCATTTGAGAATCATCTACCTCAGCATTCACTGAGCATTTTAAAACAGCATCACAGAGACAAGGTGATGCTCAGCTGGCTTGGCCTGAAGAAGAGACATCCAGTCCAACACTCGTATTGTGGCATGAAGATAGCACACTGACCAGGAACTGTTTAACCAACACACTGAAAACTGGTATGTTGAGCAGCTCTGAACTGGTCTTACATTTAAAGCATTTAGTCATGGACCTATCATTATTTTTATGAGAAGGCTCACCGAAAAGGGAGGGCTGCTTACGTCCCTACCCCAACCATTGCCAACTGACTTGAATATGCGACGCCTATGCCAGCTTGGGAGCACTTGCTAAGAGCCCCCTGTCTTTGCGTTCCCAAACCCTTTTGCTATGGTTTTACTGTTTTTTTTTTTCTTTTTCCCATTTCTCATTGGAAAAAAAAGTAGTTACTAAGTTAATTAGTAATTCTTGCTTCTGAAAATAATGAATTGGGATGTCTAAACATGTTTTTATCGCTGTTATTTAAATAACACAGCAATGTCACCTCTTACTGGCACTATCTAAATTATGAATTTTATTAACATTTTAAACCACTTACGACAACTGACAAGCGCAATGACTGACTTCTGAAATACTTTGTGCTTGTTTACTTTCAGCCCCTAAGGATACTGTGATTCATGCGGAGGCCGCATTATAAAGGGCTTGGGTTAAGTGGCAGAGCTACTTTCCAGATGTAATTATGTTTTGGAACTGTACATATTAAAACAGAAGTGCCTCCTTTTAGAAATGCGTAGTGCTGGTGGTACACTGCAGGGCTGTCTGCTTCATGCTCCTCAGTAGAGCCCCGTAATGCTCTCTCCCCATCAGTTTCATATAGTGCACAGGAGTCAGCAAACTTTTTTCTGGAAAGAGCCACACAGTAAATATTTAAGTCTTTTAAAAATGTTAAAATCATGTTTAGCTTGCAGCTGTACAAAAACAGAACTCCAGCTGGAACTGGCCCACAGGCCAATGTTTGCTGACCACTGAGAACGAGAGTTAATATTTTGAAGTATCAGTAGCCCTGATGTTCAGCCATATTTTATTTATGTCATACAGTGGATTTCTGGAGACTGGATTCCGGATTCCATGAGTCCTTTCTGAACTCTGACAGGTACTTTAGATCATGATCTCAACAGTATTCTTTCAAAATGGCATACATATTTTGTAAAAAAAAAAAAAAAAGAACTTGTAAATACTATATTTGTGCTGTAAGAGTTAATGTATTTCAAAAACTGAAGTCTCATAAAAACTTAACATTTTGTCTGATGCTGTGATTTCTAAATCTTTGAGGAGTGAGTATATTGATACCCAGATTCAGCAATCACTAGCATGCTTATACCTGTGTCAGGGTCTGTGCTTGAACTGCCAAAGCTGAGTGGAAAGCAGTGTATGGAATGTATTATAATATACTGGAGAATGTCATTTTATAGGGGGAAAATAAATTCTAAATGTTATTTTTATATGGTAAAAAATTAGGGCATATCTGGATGTCATTAAAGTGCAGAAAAGAGAAGGAAAACACTGTCTACATAACTCCTTAAGGCAAACACAACCCACACCAAAGCCGGGCTCAGTTATCACAAGAAAGGAAAAACACAGACCAGTGTACCTGAAGGAATCTCACATAAAACAGTGAATCTCAAGACATCAGTTATTCCCTAAAGGAGCAATTCTTTATAAGCAAGCTGCATCGCCTCTGGGAATGCAAAGTTGACTCAATATTTGAAAATCACAGTTCACATTAGCTGGACCAAAAAGATAAACCACATGATCATTTCCAGGCACCTTTCTTTTAAATCGATTATTAGGAATTTTTAGAAGCAGGGCCTCTAGCAAATGACTTCCTGTCTATTCAGTAGCTACCAGGATTTTGCCAAATTTATTGGCTTTATTCTTTCTATATTTTCTTTGTTGATACACCTTTAAGTAACCTCTGCTCAGCAGTCAGGAGCACTTCAGTTGTTAAGGGCAGGTAAAGGGGCTACTTCTTGGCATAACTGCTCCTTCTTCCCTTTTGCTCTAATAACAGCTATGTCTAATAAGCACATTCTGTGTGCCAAATGCAAAAATTAATTCAGTCTGCTCAAGGAAAAAAAAACAGATACAAGAAACAGATACCCTATGAGGGCTGTTACTCCACACCACCCATGCCTACCTCGCTGTGTGTCAGCTTTTTTTCTCTTGGTGGGGTGATGCCAGCTCCTGACTCACATTCCCAGAGGGGCAGGAAGTTCCCTTTCTAACTCAGAATACCCTGAGCGGAGATTTTTATCAAAAGTTGGGGAGGGATGCTGGGTTGACAAAACACTCCAGTTTCACAGAATAAAGATTGGGTGAAAGACCAGGTTCCTGTATTACTTTAATTGGAGCAAGCTGTCATACTTGAAAGCAATCAGAAGAGTCAAATCTGTTAATTAGAATACAGCAAACTCTTAAACAGCTTTCATTGTTGAAAGGATTCAAAGAAAAGTACAGTACCTGCCATGTAATAAATGCTCCATAAATGGTTGTGGTTCACAGTGGATCCCATATTATCTTTCTGAGCTTCCTTCTGCTTTTCCTCCCCCACCAGTCTCCCTCTGGCCACACACTGCCAGCCACATCACATTTCCCCAAATGTATTGTGCACTTTTAATACCTCTACATCCTTGCAGAGGCTGACCTTGATGCTTGACCTATCTTCCCCTTCCTTATCTATTTGCTAATCTCCTACTCACCTCTCAAGGGCCTTCTTCGCGACCATAAGGAAATAAAGAATGTATCAAAGGTTTTAAACAACCATGACAAAATGCTACGTCACTAGTTACTAAGGAAAATGAGAAAATATTTTGTCAGGAATCCAGATAATTGGAGTAAGTGGAGTGTGATCTATATGGAGCAATGTTCATGTGGTTTTCTAGAACACAGACGTCAGTAAGGCAGTTTGAAAGAATAATTAGTCAATAAAATCCTAAAGCTCTTGTTAGATCAAAGGGAGAAAACAGGATTAAATGCAAACACAGAACCCCCCCCCCCATTAAGTTGGTAGTAAACTTAGGCAGGTACAAAGATCAAAATATATTTTTAAATTATTTTGGGGAAAATACATAAATGCAAAGAAAAAAATGGAAGGAAATAATACTTCCAATTGAAAAGTATGTGTTCTGGTAATGAGATTGAGTAAGTTTCATTTCCTTCATATATCATCTTCTAAAAATTTTTTTTCAATGAGTATTTGTAAGGGGCAGGAAAACCACAGTGCAGGTTTTCTGATCCTGCAGACCGGGTAAAGGAGGAGTCAGAGTCCTCAGTGGTTTTGCAGGCTTTTATGGGGATTACCAGGTACACGGCAGGCAGGGGTGCTGGGGGGCCGGGAGGCTGGCAGTCCTCCCAGCCCCCAGCAAACCCGCACTCTCTCTGGGCTCTCTGGCGTTCTCTGCTTCTGCTTCTTTGCTTCTCTCTTGGCTTCTCTTCCGCTTCTACTGGCGTCCCTGTGATGCCGCCCTTAAAAGCACAGTCTTAGCCCAGGTGAATCCCATCTACCTATGCCCACACCCTATTCCAGGTGCCCGCCATCAGGCATGCATTCAGGACCTCAAGGATCCTTCATCTATCCTGATGGCAGGAGGGCAGAAAAGCCTGACATTTTTCTTTACCCTACAGTATTCATCACTTTTGTAACTAACCATTTAATATTAAATATTAGGTAGACTCGAAATGACCCATTTTAAATTTTTAGTGGAAAACAATGCTTTTTATTAGCTAATCCTAGGAAGGCTAACTTTGAAAATCCATTAAATGCTGTAGGTTCCATTATAAAAGACTTCATATGAAGAAATAGTCATTTAAATTCTTGTATTTTTATTTAGTTGGATAGGAATTAAAATTTAAAACTTGCATGTAGATGAGTTCTCATTTAGAACTAGAATAATAAGATGACATAATCCAATCCTGATTATTCATGCAGCAGGTCACTTATTCACAATCTTTTTGTTCCTTATTTTCTAAATTTTCACCCATGTGTTTGCTACATTGAGAAAATAAGGCTATGGCATTATTAAGTCAGCCAATGGAGATGTTGAACTGCCCTTGTTAGTGGGACAAACTTATTAGTTTGTGACAATAGCCTGGGGAATCTTTAAAATGCAAATTCCCAGCCCCCACCTAGAGTTAATTCAGTAGGTCAATAAGTATAACAAGAACTTTTCACTTGATCTTAGCCAAAAGGCCGAGAAACGATTAATATGAACTTTAATCTTACCTGTGATGGAGAAGTATAAAAGAAGGCCTTAAAGGCATGCCATTTTACATCCACTAAAGTGGCAAAATTAAGAAATCTGACTACACCAAGAGATAATTAGTATATTCAACAATCGTGTTGGCTAAATGAATTAATCAGGCTTTTAACACCACTAGCCTCAGTGGCTATCACCTGCGGCTCTGATTGTGCTAATGCAGAAGGCTCTAGGGAGTGTGGACTGGGGCCCCATATGCCTGATAGTGGACACCTGGATTATGTGGGCATGCAAAAGTAGGCATACCTGAGCCTGGAGGCTGAGGATATAAGGGCAGCATTACACAGGGTCCAGCGAAGGCGCAAGGGTTATGAGATGCTACGAGAGGCCGAGTGACTACAGAGAGGCAGGACCATGAGCAACGGCTGCAAGAGAGAGCCCAAAGAGAAAAAGTAAAGATTCTCAGGGGATTAGGAAGCCTGCCAGCCTCCTGGCCCTCTTTCCCCCTGCTCACCCTGCACCTGGTTGCCCCACTACAAGTAGGAACTCACTCTTTGCATGGGTGTATAAATTGGAAACCAGTTTGCTGGCGTTACTATCTCCTAGCCTAACAACTTCACAGCTAGCTACTCTGTAAAACCTTTAGTATATATGCATGATATTAAAATATTCTCAGCAGCATCATTCATATAAGCTGCAATCTGAAAATAACGTACATGTCCAAGGACAAAAATAACAATGAAAAATGTGTGGGGAATACTATACAGCAGGAAAAAGTAACTATAGCCTGTTTTAATGATCTATTCTCTTGGCAACAAGCTGGTGAATAAAAAAATACCATGTAGATAGAATATGGCACAAAACTAAGCAGGGTTTTTTTAAGGTCTCAGATACGAGAAAACGAAACCTAGGAAGTGGGAAGGACAAATGATTTACACAAAATTCAGAATAATTTTTTAAAAATATCCTTGAACTGCACGGCCAGTGGGGGTGATGATTTTCTAAGCTGACTCCAAGGGTTTCGGTAAATTTCTTCACAAATTTTATAACATGTTCATCATATTTCATAACTCATGCATCATTTTGCAACTTTCAATACTATTTAAAACATTCAAAGTAAATCAGAAAAAGAAACTGAAAAACAACAGGCCGCACCAGCAACTGCACCCGGATGCAGCAGCAGGTGCCCTGCATCAGCCGTGCTGCATCAGCCGCGCTGCAGCAGCGGTCCGCTGGGGGCGGAGCTCCGTAGCCTGCTGTGCGCTTGCGCATGAGCCCAGCCAATCAGCGGCGGGATGGAGAAGGCGGGGCTGGCTTTTCCCGCCTGACGAAAGCCAAGCTACTTAAGAGGAGCGTCGAAGCCCCTAGAAGCCGCGTCTTCAGGTGAGAAGCTGGCGTGAGGCGGGGGCGCGGTAGGCCTTCAACTGTGGGCTCGACTTTTGGCTTGTTTTATCCCTTTTTTTTCGGTGGGGTTATTATTTTTAGGCAGTTGTTCAGCTTGGGGGTCCAGGCCGCATGTTTTATTATTTTTTTTTCGGTGGGGTTAGTAGCACTTCAGTGTGGGAGTCCAGGCCGCGGTGTCTCTGGGCTCTTGAGGTAAATCTCCACCGAGCGGACGCTGACAGAAAATGAGGGCCGTGAGCCTGGCGCGGGCGGGCCGGGGCGTGTGGAAGGCTGCGGCCGGCGCGGGCGTGGACCGGCTCGCGAGGAGTGGGGGTCAGGGGTGGGAAGCGGGGCCGCGTCGGCGGGTCTCAACACGCCTCCCCATCCTGTGAGAAACGGGTCCGTGACGGAGGGTCCCTCTCGGGTGTCCCCGCGGGGCGCGGCGGCCAGCGGGCGCCCCTCCCCGCAGCACCGTGTGGCCGGGGGTCGCGCGGCCCGCCCCAGAGTCACCCCGCGGCCTCCTGAACCCGGCTCGACGCCGGCGTGTAGGCCTCGGCCCCCCGCGCGCGCGCCTGTGGTGAGGGGTGGGGGGGGGCGCTGACTGGGGGCCAAGCCGAGTTACTGGGCCGGACCCGGCGTCGAGGCCTCCCGACCCCGCCGTTAATTTAAAAGGCGTCGCGGTGGCCAGAGGCGATGAGAGACTTGTTTTCCAGTCAGGGGCGACTAGCTATGGTGCCGTCGGGGAAGAAGCACGGGGGCAGGTCCGGGAAGGCCCTGGAGGAGCAGGCCGCGCGGGCCTTCCACTTCGAGCGGGAGCAGCAGCGGAAGGCGCTGAGCTGCTCCGCCGAGGACGCCGCGCAAGGTACCACGGGTGGGGTTTTGGGGGGCAGCGGGCCCGCCCGGCTTCCCCTCGAGGCCTCTGCCCCGGTTATTTTATTTTATTTTTTTTTTAATTATTTTATTATTTTTTATTTTTTTTATTTTTTTATTATTATTATTATTTTTTTAAGTTGTGATGAAATCTCATTGGCGCGCGCTCCCCTTTGTTTCCCGCTCGGAATTTCGCGTCGCCTTCGCGGCCGTTACTTGGTGCTGGGCAGCCGCAGAGTGTGGGCCGTGGTGGTGGCTCAGACAGACGCGCAGTTTGTGCCGGGCACTCAGGGGGGCCCTGCTCGCGCTCCGCTGGTGCCCACGAAGCCGCGCTTTTCTTGATCTGTCTGCTTGAAGACGCAGACGCCAGAAACCCCTCAAAGTGAAGCCGTTTTTACCCCATTGAAAGGGGTGCGAATGGCGGCCTTCCGTTTCAAAAATACTTTTCTTTGCTGTTGTCCAATGCAGGGAAGATTTCAGTCATTGAGAAGCACGGGAAGAAAAGGAATTCCGCGGGCCTCGTTGAAGAGATGGGGTAATGTGCGCAACTTGATTGTTGCCTTGAAAGTGCTTTAAGGCACTGTAGTGGCATATGTGGGCCTGCTCTGCATTTTGAAAATGACTACGTATGTGTCAATTACATTGCTTACTATTCAACAAACAAAGGCAGTTCAGGAAAAAAAGAAACACAAGTCATCACTACATCTTAACTAGATTTGTGTTTCCTAGCTTCTGTAGATTTCAAAGTGTTTGGTATGTTATTCTCAATAGAGCATTTAAAGGAAAAAAATATATATGAGAAAAAATATATTTGTTCTTTTTTTGAGGGGGAGGGTTCCATGAATTGTCATTGTTCTCTATTGGCTACACTAAACTTATGACTTACTGTTTGCTCTTTTGAATAAATAAAAAAGTGACATTTAAAAAAAAATAAAGTGCTTTAAGGAATGGTGGTTGTGGTTGTGCGTGGGAGGTTGTGTGCGGAATGCTAGGGGTATTTCTGCATGTGGAGGCATTGCGTTTGTTTCATGGATCTTTACTTAGAAGTTTTTTAATTTTCTCATAGGGGTGAAGTGCGGACTATGCTGGAAAGATTTGGAGGTATGTCTAAGATGTTTGTAGCTCAGTGAAATTGCTCTAAACTGTATCTTGGGTGGTAGGAGATGTTATCAGTGGACTAGAAGATTCCTAGCTGAGGTTTCTTCTTGTGTGTGCCTTGGTGTGAGTACATGTGATTCACTTTCATAGATTTCCTTCTTTACCTCTTCTGATTGTTGAGATGAAGAGGGGGAGTGCTTCTAAAAATGGCGAGGTAAGAATGGTGCTTTATCTTACACGTTTATGAATTTAATGGACTGAAATTTTAGGGGGGAAAAAAAGGATGGGAAGAATACCCTCTGGACTCTTGTGGACGGAGTGAAATAAATACACTTACCTGTATGTATATCAGTTTCTCAATTCAGTTATTTTCTGTGACCTTGCTGTGTTTTTTAGGAAAGGCAGTGTAAATGGAGCCTTTAACTATTTTACATTATTAAAACTATGTAGTTGAGATTAAGGACAACTTTGCTATCTGGTAAGATGTATAATCAGACAGAAAGTTCAAACTTTAAATGAGATGTCGTAACAGTTACATCAGCTGCGTTAGGGGGAGTACTTTTAAAAAGTCAGTATTTCACCTGTAAAAGGATTATTCTGTCAAATCTTGAAAGAATTGCTCTTTGGTGGTGACACAATATTTGGTTGTCTTACAAATTTATTGTTTTACATATTGAAAACTGTATTTTCACAATAGTGCAATTATGATCGTTGCAAAATAATTACCAGTGGTAGATCAATGTGCATGTGTTAGCAAATCATTTCAAATATTGAAAATTTTATGAACTACAGTAATTAAGGGTAAAATGGCCTGTAAAAACTTCATAAAGATATTTAAATGAGTTCCTGACTGAATTACCTAGATATTTGCTTAAATTAAGATTTTTCTATAATTGGTTAGTAAAAAAAATACTGAAAGTCGTATTTTTTTAAAATATTTTTCTTTATAGCCATTTTTGGTCTTTCAAAATAGGATAGTTTTGTGTTTCATGAATCCTAACAGTTCTTCTATTGGAGAGTATAAATTTTTTAAAAAATTGCTTTTATTAGAATTTCACGTAAGGAAATTGAAGTCTGTTTTTGAGACTCATTTATGAATTTAATAATTTCTAAATGAAAAGATTAGGTGAATCAGCACTGGGATACTAAATAACAGTTTTCTCAGGAAAAAAAGCAAACAATATTGTATTTTAGTGTTTATTTAATAACAGTAGCTTTGCTTTTCAGTATTTTTAAATTTAAATGTTTTTCCAAAACTGTTAAGTGAACTTTACCTGTATATATTTGAAAATGTGGGAACAAAAGAATTATCTTAAGGAATATTTATTTTAAATATAGTTGACATGAACAAGGCTCTTCTTGCCAAGAGAAAAAGACTTGAATTGTATACCAAGGCTTCTATCAAAACCAGTAACCAGAAAATTGAACAAGTTTGGAAAACTCAGCAAGAGCAAAGGTAAAGTTGTTTTTTTTTCCACAGCCACAACATAATGTATCATTTCGTAGTATTCATTTGTACAAATTACTTACGAAAAATACTTTCATCTTCTCTATTGGGATAACTAGTAAAAAATATATTTGTCTTGGGAGCTTCCCTAGTGGCTTAGGGGTTAAGTATCAGTGCTATTATGCTATCACCACTGCAGCCTGAGTTTGATCCCAGGTCAGGGAGCTGATCCACATAGGATGCAGCAGACCTCTCCTGTCTCACCTGTTGCTCCCCCTAGCAGTATTTCAGTAGATCCACCTTTCTGCTTCCCACTCTTTGGTGAATCCTCTTCCCACACCTCTGGCTTACACCCCAGTTCGTTTATGCATGCATGCATAAATAAATAATCTTTTTTAAAAAAAATGACTACTTTAAAAATGTCGATTTTTTTTCTAAATAAATGAATGCTTTAGTCCTGTAACCTTGCTCCTTTATAAATTTGAGATATATTTCCTAAAAATAATAGATTCTTGCTCCCTTTTAAATAACAATTGATTTTTTTTTTTCACTATAAATACTGGCTGAATAAAAAGTCATAAACCTTTAATCTTGAGATAGTTGTTTAGCAGTATAGAAAATGACCACTCTTATATTGTAAATAATTTATTTTAGCTTAATTCCTTTATATAAAACCATTGTGCTAAAATGGGGAAAAATTAAATGACATTCTGTTTGGAAATCTTACAACTCCATTCACTCTGTCTTAATCAGAACCTATATTCAGTAGAAGAAAATGAAAAATCAACTGCTTGGAGATAAAAGTGGACTTTTTGGAATTCTTATCTATAAATAATACTTAGTTTTCTAGAGCTACAGCATGTAAGAGGGCTTTTTTGTTGGTTAGGAAAATAAATATTTCTGAAATCAGCATAAGACAATTTTACTTATATTTGACAATTTACAATTACTCCTTTTATTATAATATGAATATGACAAGTCAATGTTGTTTTGAAGTTTTTTTTCCCATATTGGTATAAAATATCAAATATTCATTGTTTTGCAGGCAGAAGCTTAGCCAAGACTTTTCTCAGCAGTTTCTGACTTTGTTTCAGCAGTGGGATTTGGATGTGCAGAAAGCTGAAGAACAAGAAGAAAAACTAGCTGTTAGTGTTGTACTTTTTTAAATTTATTATTAAACTCTGTATAACTAGGTGTCAAATAGGAATAGAGAGCCTAGCCTTAGCATATAATGGCACTCATTCTGTTTCATTATGCACTGCTAATTATGTGTTTTGGTATTGTATAGAAGTACAAGCACACAGAATATTCCTAAAATCAATTGGTCTTTGCTTCCTATATTGTGGTACCAAGTGACATAAAATTGTTACAAGGAGGATTGTTGGTTTATGTAAAAGTACAGGAGGTGGTAGGTAGTTTAGCTTCAGCCATAGCTGAATGGAGTAGGGTAGGATTGCTCAGGCAGTATCTTACAGCATTTTTCCAGTTCTTAGTAGACTCTCTCAACATAGGAAGCAAGAAACTTCTTACAGTCCTAGACTTAGAAGTTTAGTAGCCCCAGGGATTGAGGTAGTCTTTTTTTTAGTTGCTCTGGCAAATGTCCCCTGAAAGAGTATTGCTTACCTAGTTTGACTCATTTGCCCATTTCGGAACCAGGCAGCATAATCAGAACATGGTGTGGCCTTATGAATTGTTACCTGTCCACCTTCCATATATATATAAAATAACTACATTAACTGTCTTGTCATTGTTGGCGAAATTATTACACATTTCTTATTTAAGAGTTAAAGTAATGTTCATATAAATTTAGGGGTTTGTTCAGCTTCGTTTTAAAAACATTAAGATGCAGGCCTCCCCTGGTGGCGCAGGCAGTTGAGCACAGTGCTGTGAAACTGTCTGCAGCCTCTTCAGTGCTGGTTTGATCCCGGCCGGCCAACAAGGGTCCCACATGGCGAGGCAGACCTCTCCTGTCTCGCCTGCTGCTCCCCTCAGCATTGTATTTTGTCTGCCTTTTCTGTTCCCTCTGTCTCTGGTGGATCCTCTCGCCCTCCCACTAATCTGGCCTGTACCCCGCATCTTGTATAAATAAATAAATCTTTAAAAAAAATATAAAGATGCATATGAACCATCTACCAGGAGATGTTAAAGTGGCCTGGAGTTCAGTATGGGTTGAACATACAAAGTTGGCAATACTCACTGTAAAGACAGTAAGCCACGAAATTAGGTGACATCACTAGGGAGTGATTGTAAATATAAAAGAGAAATCTAAGGGCCTGGATTAAATATTTCATTCAGTGTTAAGAATTCCAGAAAATAACAAAGAACCAGTAAGGAGGACTGTGACTGAATAGTCTTAATAGAAAGAAAACCACTGTAAGTGAAGAAGACCTTTTAAGGAAAAAGGACTGATTTTTATTATATACTCATTAGCTTTGTCATAAGTTAAATAAGGTGCATTTGGCAATGTGGAGGTCATTGTTCTTGATCATAATGGTTTTGTTGGAATATCGAGTGCAAAAACCTGACTGGAATGAAGAGAATGGGAAGGGAAAGGAATGAACTATTAGCTTGAGTAGAAAAGGAATAGGGATTTTTGCTTGTTTTCTAAATTGGAGAAAGAGCTGTATGTTTGTGTGCTGGTAGGAATAATCAGAGGGGTAAGATTGAAAGGGTATGGGGTGACTGCTGAATCCTTGAGACTATATGGGACATGTGAAGAAGTTGGCCTTAGCAAGGAACAAGGATAGATCATTAAAACAGAAGAGAAGGTAGAACACATGAGCACACATGGATATGAGTGGGTAAGTAGAGAGAGTGATGGGAGGCTAAAAATTCTCTGGATTGCTCTGTTTCCTTAGTGAAATAATTAAGGCCAGCAACAACAGAAAAGATGTTGCCTCTTGAGGTCAAATGAGAGATGTGAAATACTTTTCTGAGAGATGGCCAGAGAAATGCACTAAGGAAATAGAATTGTCAAGCAACTTTAAAGGTGAAATATAATTTCGTTAACATAATGATCCTGAACTTAAAGTGAGTGCTATGGGTTTTTTTCCAGTCATGGCCAGTTATATAGGGATGCATACAGAATAGCCAGAGAGCTAGATTCTACGTGTTTGGGCTTTAGCTAAATGAATGTAACAGAATAAGAAGGGAGCAAGGTCTGTATACAAAGGAGTAATTTAATGATCACAGAAATTTAAGCTTGAAGAGAGAAAAGTGAGGACATGGGAATAAGAATAGGGAACGGTGTAAAGTATGTGGGATGAATGGGTTTTTAGGTCTTGATAAAGATTATTGAGCTGAAGTACTTTAAGAGAATGAGCTAGAATGGTAGGGTGATAGTGGTTGAATAGTGGGATATATGGAGAAACAGTATAGAATAATGGTTAGTCTGAATTCTGTTTAGAATCACGTTTTGGTTTTACCAAATGCTAGCTGTGAGACCATGGACAAGTATTTGTCTTTATGCCTCAGCTTCCTCATCTATGAAAGGGGTAGAATAAGAGTACCTTTCTCATATAATTGTTTTGAGGAGTAAATGACTTCATGTATAAGTTTAATAGTTCAAAGTAGTATCTAACATGAAGTTAATGTTACATTCGCTTTTATTAATACTATATAGAGATTAAAGTTACTGGTAATGACAAATTCCAGGGTATGTGTATGTAAGTGAATGGGCCACTAGGGTGATGGACAAAAATCACTGGTGGAAGGTAGGCCAAGGAACTGAAAAGCCAGCATTAATGAATGATCATCTCTGTTGATAGTGAAGCACCGAAGAATGAAGAGCTATTGTTAAGATTTCCTACTCAGTAACAGGTGGTAGTATTGTTGTATATTAGTGTGCATAGGTTATCTGAAGTAGGCCATAATAGTTAAAATTTTTATGGTAATTGATTTTAAAATTATTCATTTTAAGTTTAATGTAGAATTATTTTTTGCTAAACTTAGAAATCTACCAAAATTTTTATCACATAACTTTTTCTATTTGTAGAATACGTTTCGTCAGCAACAGAAGATTTTTCAGCAATCTAGAGTTGTTCAGAGCCAAAGACTGAAAACAATTAGACAGTTATATGAGCAGTTCATAAAGGTTTGTTGTATTTGGTAACACTGTTTCCTATAAAACAAGCTGTATATATGGAAGCAGAAATAATTTTTTCCATCCAAGTTCAGAAAAAACAACTTAGACATTTTTAATTCCTAACTATATTCCATTTTGAATTAACTTTTTACTGTAGTGTTCTAACGTTTGTGGGATTATTCAAAAAGGAATGGCATACTGAGAATTTCACCTGAAAGTGTACATACTGTGCATAAAAATCATACTTTATTAACACATTAGCAATAGGTCTCTGTTCAAGTCTTTTACTTGTCTTTTTACCCCCCCATTTGTTAAATAGAAAGTAGCCAATTTAAATTGAATATTTATTTTCAAATATATTACATATGCATTTTATGGCATATTTGCTTTGAGAACTTAGTCACAGAAAGGTTTCTATTATGCAAACTTAAAATCCTGAGTTGGCCCAGACATATAATAGAATGAAAAGGCCAGCAATGGGTTAAAAATTTGTTGACTGAGAATTAACTGACAAGTGCAATTTGTGTTAAGTGGCATTGAACTCTTGCTCGTGCAGATATATCTTAGTAACTTGCATACACTCCCCCCCACCCCCTTGGGAGGGTTCATTTAGACAGTCTTGTTCAAACAATGTCACTCTTCTAAATAAATCTGGATGCTCTGAGTAAAATAGTAAAAACATTTTAAAATGTAGTTTTAAATAACTTTAGAAGTTTTTGAACTCAAAAGTTAGAAGTATTTTCCTTTCTCTTGCTCTAATGTTGCTTGAAAACCATTTGTTACTTGGCGTGAAGGTTTGGTAAAGTACTAGAAAAGATTTTTTTCTGAATGTTTCTACTTAGGGTAGGAGTTTCAGTATATATTTGCCCATCCATCTCTTAATCTTTGAATCTTAGTTAATGGACCTTGTGATTTTTACTTCCATGAATCTTAATTAGTGGGTCTTGTGATTTTTTTCCTTCCATGATGGTTCTTTTCAATTCCCATTGCTTTTGTCCTAGTAGAACCTCATCATTCTTATACTATTAACTTATTTTCCCCAATATGCCCATCATTGGCCTGCCATATTATCTTCCTAAAACTGTCGTCCTCCTGAAACTCAGTAGCATCTCATTTTGAATTCCTAGTCATAATCTTGACCTTCATTTTTAAGGTTCATGTACTAATTAAGCCATTACTCCCATCCTGTCACATGATTACTCTGAACTCACAATGCATTTTCATGTTTTTGCTTGTTTGTCCTCTAGAATGTTAACTATTTTTTATCTATTGAAATATTTTGCTACTAAATTGGACCTTATCCCCATTTTCTACCACATAGCCATAGTAAGTTATATTCCACTATAAAAATTTGTGTGCCTGTTTCTGGGATAGTGATCATGTATTGTTTTGTAATTACCCCATAGTATTTAATATAGTATTTACAGAGTAAGCATTAGGATTACTAACATAATTTTTGCTTTTCATAAATTGAAGAAAAGTCCCTCTAATGAATTCACAGCCTTAGTCATAAGAGTTGTTTACAGCCTGGTAATTAGAAAGGTTATAGGAAGTTTTCAAAATTTTGGTATACATTGGTATGGGACTTAGTCTTAGTCTGTAAATTTTTTTTATTTTCACCTTAATTCATTAACCCATTGCTCTGAAGAAAGTATATGCCACTGTAATACTTGATTCAGTCTGATTTTTTATTCCTTTAGTGTGTGTTTTAAGAAATATGTACATTATTTGAATGTTAAAAGTTCCTACTTCTGAAAATTGTACAGATTTACAAACTGAGATGAAAAATGGTTTATAACTGAACCAATTTTTTGTGCTTTAGAGTATGGAGGAGTTAGAGAAGAATCATGAGAATCTACTTACTGGTGCACAAAATGAACTTAGAAAAGAAATGGCTATGTTGCAAAAAAAAATTATGATGGAAACTGTAAGTCATTTAAAGCTGAAAAAGTAAGGATTATAATGTAAGCACTGAAATATTTTATTTGCTGAAAATGTCTTAACACTTAATCTAAATACTAAACATGTTTAATATCCTTTCATGTAACAGCAGCAGCAAGAGATGGCAAGTGTTCGAAAGTCTCTTCAATCCATGTTATTCTGATGACTCTTTGAAGAAAGAACTTGAACCTAAGTAATACGATAACAATTACAACATTAGCTAAGATGCATGCTAAGTCTTTAGAGTGGTTTAAAAATTCTAGTTTAAAATACTATATACTATTATAAGCTTTAGTGAAGACTCCTGTTAATTGTCAAATAAACCCTTTTTAGTGGTTAGCAGCAATTCCTGAAATATCTGTACCAGTTTCAGCTTTATAGTAACTGAAGCTTTCTAACACTTGTAACTTAGCTTTCAACAATAAAGATGATTTATTTCAAGTTTTAGCTTCTGTGTATCAGTCCCAAAAGGTAGAAAGCATAAATACAGGTTACATTGTTCTTTAAAAAAAAAATACAAGATCTGTTTTATATGCACATCTTTTTGTTACACTAGTTAATTGTAATTAGATCTAAAAAAATCTATTGACAAAATTTATTAAAAGCAACTTAAGTTTGTGTTTTGGGAGAAATTAACATACCTAATTACTTATATTTTAAGTACTTTACATTTGTCTTTAAAGATAAACTACCCTGGAATGTTCAGCTGTAATAGGACTATGGAAATTTGATTTTACATTTATTTCCAAACTTAGCTAATTCTTAAACCTTGTCTTTTAAAATGTGCAAATTTCAGCATTTGTTTGCAGTAAGCCAGTTACTGTTTTTCTTCTGCTGAAATTTTAACTGAGATTGTCAACAAGTTACCCTCAGTATAAAGATTTCATGTTTTCCTGAACTGCTAAGACAAATTCCTTTTAGTAAATACCATTATGGAAAATTCTAGTACCCCTTTCAAATTGTGCTAAATCAAGTATTTCCTTAAATAATTAACATTTTTTTAAAAAAATGCCTTATAATCATCTCATCACTTGACAATATATTGAAATCTAAGCACTTAGGCAGTATGAAATCAGTTTTCGATTTTTAGCAATCAAGGCAAGCATCATCCTCAAGTTAAAATCCTTTAAATCCTGAATTTTTTATACTCCTTTGGCAGTGAAAACCCCGTTTATGATAGAGGTTTAAGATAAAGAGATTGGTATTTAGAGCTAGAGTGGTTCACTTTCTTATCCAGAGAATTGAGATTTATGTCTTTGGTTTTGTTCATAATTTATAGATTATAGTATTCTAACATACCTGTGATCAAAAATGTTGTTACACAATGAGGACTTCACAGTTGAAATAGGCATAATGAAATATGCAAGACAATGTTTTATACTCAAATACCACCTTATTTGATTGTATACTAGCCTCCTGCAAAAGGGGATTTCCTTCACTCATAGGTTCACCTAACTGCTTCTCCTCTTTTCCTTGCTTGGACTATTAGTCAATATGCCTGTGAACCTGTTCAGGTGCTTGATAACACGAAGTCTTGAAGATACTTAGATGAAGGTGTCTTGAAATTTGCAGGCACAAAGCACTAAAGTACATGGTCATATCAAATGAAGAAATAACCTTTGGAAACAAAAAAAAATAGAAAATGGATTTTTGTCTCTTTTCTGAAGCCTCAACTGTGTTTCTGTTCCTCTCATCTTTCCCCAATCTCTTAACCTAAAATTCTCTACAGAAAACATTACATTGTAGAGTACTTTCATATTTGGACCTCACTATTGACTTCTAGAACATGTAGAGCATTTCATACTTAGAGAAGCTGAGGCTCAGCAGTAAAGACCTAGACTGAAGTAAAAAAGTTGTAAAACTCAAGTTTTCTGACTGTACATTTTTTTCAACTTTATGCTCTGTGATAAATTTTCTACTAGAAGGGGCTACCAGTTACAGTGAAACTCCATCATACTCATTTTATTCCTTTGAGATTAGTTGTATGAAAGGAAAGGACTGGAAAAGACACTATAGTCAAGGGGAGGCATATACAAATTTGTGTCTTACTCAAAATTAAGGCACTGAAAACTTGCCCAAAACCAGAGGAAAATGCTTCCTTTCAGAAAAAGGAGCTTACAGCTCTCTCTGCCTGACGCAATTCTCACTCATGAGGGAAAAGCTCTACCTAACCCTTTCTCTATGAAGGGTTACATTTCTCTAGAAATGTTTTCCTAAGGATGCCAAAGGGCATGTGTTTTGTTTTGAGCTGCAGTCTACATAGTGCTTTTTTTTTTTTTTTAAGATTTATTTATACAAGCACTGGGTACAGTCAGAAGCGCGGGAGGGTGAGAGAATTCACCAAAGCCAGAGTGGGGAGCGGAGCAGAGCAGGCAGAAGGACCAAAGTACACTGCTGAGGGGAGCAGCGGGCAGCAGGAGAGGTCTGCGCGCCATGTAGGACCCTCCTCCGGTGGCCGGGGAGCAGCCGGGGATCGAACTGGCGCTGCAGAGGCTGCAGGCAGCTTTGCAACCCAGCGCTTAACCGCTGCGCCAGAGGGAGGCCCTCTACATTGTGCTTTAAGAAAAACAGAATTTGACTTCCTCGTAGTAAACCACCACTAACATAAACCAGGTCAACTTCCTACAAAATAGGTGCTAGAATTTTTAACACCTGACATTAAACAATCTTATGAGGTAATACATATTTAAGTTCACTAAAAATTCCTACATTGAAATCTCCAACTACAATTCTTAAATTTAGGTTTTTTTGGAAGGACCTCCATGGTGGCCTAAGAGTTAGTCTCAGCACTATCGCCACTATAGCTTCTGAGTTCAATCCCCAGCCAAGGAGTTGACCCACATGGCACAGCAGACCTCTCCTGTCCTGCCCACTGCTCCCCTCAGCAATGAATTTCAGTGGATCTGCCTGTTCTGCTCCCCACTCTGTCTCTGGTGAATCCTCTCACCACCCCCACACCTCTGGCCTGTACCCCAGCTCTTGTATGCATAAATAAATCTTTTAAAAAAAGGACCATTTCAAAATGGTTCCAGAATCTTATACTTGGCAGCACTGTCTGTTTCATGTTTGTCCATATTAGTTGATAGTTCTAGAGGTGATATGTGTCCACCTTTGTTAACACTAACCCCCTAGTTAACCTGTTACTGCTACAAGCTCAAAATAAGTAACAAGCTTAAGTTAGGCACTAAAAAGCTTGGTTTGGGCAGATTTTTGACATCTTTGTTGTTTTGAAGAAGAAATACAGATATTTTTAAGGTATATAGATACGCCTCAAGGATTTAAGTTGTTGGAAGCTTGATCTCCAGATATATAGGCCATTTAATGTAAGTAAAATAAGTTTAAAAAAGTGATTTTAAATATTCAGAAACATTACTGTATAGACATTGATGCTCCCTGATACACTGAAATAACTCGTGTTACTTAACATCCACTCGTTATTAAAATCTTAACCAGAAAAGAACTTACCATTGCTATCCATAACACAACATACTCGTCTACAACATTATTAAAATACTGGTCTAAGAATAAAAGACCTGGGCCAAGAAAGACAGTGTCTTGAAGATGCAGTTCACTTTTGGTCATGTGCGCTATCTGTAAGAAAGTGAATAAAATAATTTCAGCATCAAATTTTAAATGTTTTAGCTTTATTTTCAGCACAATTATAACTTTAATTCACCTATAAATAAGGATAGATAACCCTACATTTGATAGGGGACCACTGAGTCTAAAACTCAGTCATTACTGAGCAGCTTAATAAAGTTACTAATATTTAACTTGATAGAAAGTTTTAAGGATAATTACAACTGAATAAATAATAAGAGGAGTCTTTTCTTGAATAACATTAACTCAGATTCACTTGGAACACCATCAGCTAACAATTCCCTGCAATGATGACATCACGACAAACCTATCCATTGTGTGAAATAGTTGTGACTGTTTGAAGACCAACTACATTATTTATTTATACCATAAATCATAAAAGAATCTCTTACCACCAATTTTTGTGAGACTTTAGCAAAGACACATCCAAACATCAGGGTATACAGACAAGGATGTTTTTCAAATATATTAGTGACTGACTTTTTATAGATCATTATTGCCAATATAATAATAATTCCTATGTGAAGTCCAGGTGACAAGACACTGGTGCCCTACGGTATAAAGTAGAAAACCAGCATCACATGTTAACACTTCACTTACAAAATACACAGAAGACAGGTTAAAATTTTTACCTTTTAAAATAATAGTACTTTCAAATTTCACTGAAACCACAATAAAATTTACTTCATGAATAGCACATTTCTCTATGTGAAGCCTCAGTGACCTTTGGCAGCTCTCTTGCCATCCAGTCAGGAAGCCATTCCTTCCTGCCCTTTCCCCTGTTCAGTGCCAGGCCGGGAAACGGAACGCTTCACTGCGCGCAGCCGGGAAACGGGGTGACCAGGCGGCGCGTCGGAAGAGTCTACTTGGAGCAAGGTGGTAAGAGGGGAAAACGGCCTAAGCCATTGTAAAGATGCTTTTACACTGTGTGTCTGCGAGTCGTTTCGGGCAGTCAAGAAGGGCGGGGTCTGGGCAAAATGAAAGTGATTCGACTAGTTACAAGAGAAGTCACGGGGATGGAATGGACACCGTGGCGACCACAGTTAATGCTGCTGTATATGAGGACTGCTACGACAGTGGGCCTTCCAAGTCAGCGCAAGAAAAAAAATTCTAGGCAGTTCTCTTGCCTGCCTGGGACTATGCAGGTGCCTCTCTCTCTCCCTTCTCTCTTTCCTAAAAATATATATATATATATATATATATATATATATGTAAAAAAAAAATTACACATAGTGATGGATGGTAACTAGACACATAGACACATAGTAACCAATTCACAATATATACAAATAGACATGATGATGAGCATGTTTAGATGTCATTTATTTCTAAAACCCCCGAAATACCAGTCATGTTTTTTCTGTGGCCCCCACAAAAAAAAAAAAAAAGATATTTAATGCCTTTCCCAGTTCTTGAATTTTGGCATATTTTCAGAATCTCTGTAGCTGGTGTTGAGTAAACATACAATTCACACCAAATGAGAAAGAAGTTTAATGTCTTACTGCAATAGTGGATCCATTCTTGCCAACGCCACCATGGAGGATAACATGGAAATAATTAGAACAGGAAAATATTGCTCCACCCACTACTCCAAGAACTGGAAAAATCTTCAATTTTATTTCTAGAATAGGTATCTTTAGGGATAGAGGAAAGAAAGAAATCATGAAGAAAACAGATTTCCTTTTCCTACTCAATAGTGAAGAAACAGTACATGATGTGACCCAATAAGCTATCCTTTTTCTTACAGTCAAACCTCAACTTCTGGAGTGCAGCCTGAGGGAGTAGCTTGTGAATGGTTTTTCTCATTAAGTGAAAAATGAATGTACCAGATTCAGCTAAGTCTTCTTACATAACTGAGATGAAATATTTAATCTCACAAGACTTCATGTGACGGAGAGGAAACATGAAAAAGGATAGTTCACGTGAACGTGTTACCTTTAAAAGGTAGCCCCCCAGGAAAGTCAGAACACCAGGAGATGCCCCATGAATGTGAGCGGCCTCACACAACGTGTGCACATGCAAACACCTGTGGGTGTAATGTCCAGGATGAAATCTCTAGCAACATAGTTACCTGTTGGTCAATTGCTGTTCAAGAAAACTTCCAAAGGCAGCAAAGGATTTAAAAAACAGTGACAATGAATTGCCAAAATCTGTAGGCTGGTGTGTTTTGAAAGTAGACTTTGCAACACTGTACCAGAATGTGTGGAAACGCTAACTAACTAAATTTAGAAAACCTACATTGAAAATAAGTATCACTGCTGGTGTGAATAAGCAGGCGGGCTCCCTTCCCAGGGGACGGCCAAAACGCTGAAGTTAGCTCAAGACTGAATACTTCCCCATTGTACCTAAATTAGACTCTCACATGTGACTTGATGGCCGGAGTCGCCTAACCACCTTGCTCCCCGCTCACGTGCGTGGCGATGCTGGCTGAGCCGTCGCCACCCAACACGCGCGCATCCCCCGGCAGAGTGCACAGGCCCGGTGCGCGTGCCCGTGACTCTAGCATTCATTCTTACACGATGGGAAGGAATACGAATGTCTCAAGGAATGGATCACTACTTAAAATATGTTCGAAGTCCATTTCTGAGCCTAGTGATAGGAACTGTAATGGGCAAATTGGAAACTAAATGCCACAAGGACATTTCTGACCCTGTTTTTTTAACATACAGTCGTTAGAACAACTAGGTTCACAGCAGATTTGTCTGGAAAGTACAGAGTTCCCATCTACTTCCTGGCCCCCACTGCCATCCACTATGAAAGTGCCCCCTACCCCCAGCAGTACATTTGTTACAATCCATGCGCCTACACTGACACATCATTACCACCCCAAGTCCATATATTACATGAGCGCTCACTCTTGGGGGTGCGTATTCTGTGAGTTTAGACACATGCTTTGTCTACTCATCCCTCCCCCTGCAGTGACCTGACAGCTGCTGATCTTTTCACTGTTTCCATCATTTTGTCTTTCCCAGAATGCCGTAGAGTTGGAATCATTCCAGACGTAGCACTCACTATGGCTTCTCTCGTGAACGTGTATGCACTGAAGGGTTCTCCGTGTCTTTTCACAGCTTGGCAGCCATTTTAAAAAGTGGATAATACGTCATTGTCTCAGTGTGCCCCAGTTTACCCATGTGCCTGCTGTGGGGCATCTTGGTTGTTTCAGAGTTCTGGCAATTTTGAATCAAACTCTTACAAACATCCACGTTCAGGTTTTTGTGTGGAGATGTTTCCAAATTGCTGAACTCATTCTAAGACTTACTCATAAAGCGAATGATAACATTGGCTATTTCATAGGATCGTTCGGAGGTCATGACACAGCCGTGCTCATGTGTTAGGAACACAGGTGTTGAATGCAAGGTAGTTGTTGGCTACTGAGATCATCCTTCTTCTTCTGAACACTGAGGGCATGAGGCTGTGAGTCAGGCCGTGACTTGGACTTAGGTTGTAGAGACTAATTTGTTTCTTTATAAATTTTCTTCTTATGCAAACATGAATTTATGACCCTGGCCTCCTCATAGGATACTCTTACTGAAATGCTGAGGTTACGAAACAAGCAGAAAATAAAAACACCCCTTCCTACGGGGGACGTCGAGCTTTTAAAAATACAATAACTTTTCCTTAACATTGAGGGAAGAGTTTTAAACAAAATATTTTACTGAATTTACTGTTTAAAATTTATTTTATGTGATAAATTTTGGCCTGGAAAAAGTAGTTCAACTAGTGTGCGGAGCTTGTCTTAGGGAAGTGGAGGGGGGTGTTTGTCATGAAGTCATATATTCACACAGAGAGGAAAATGCCATGACAAGGTATACGCAGGGCACAGGTTATAAAATGAAGGGTTAAGAAGAGGAACAAATATTAAATACAATACAAAGGATTTCTGGAGAAGGTTAACAATGCAATGCTTCTTCCCTAATTATTTAAAAAGGTACTTAACTAGAAATTTAAATATTCAGATTTACCGTATAGTCCCACATGGTTGCTCCTCCGAGCGCAGACAGCACAAACACCATCACTAAAGCTATTTGAATTTCAGTGACATCCACTCTACAGGGAAGGACAGAGAACAGAAAACAGGTTTATAAATAAAACACCCAAATAAGAAAGTTGGCCGTATACGAAGGAAGCCAAAATGTCCACAGACGTCATTTTTACCTCTCTCTCCATCACGGAGCGATCGGGTGATTACCCTGCGGAGTGAAGGAAGCCCAGAGAAGAGCGCGTTGCCACATGTAAGCCTCACAGGGGAGCCTCAGTCTACGTCCCGGGGAAAGACTCATGGAGCGCACAGAAAATGGTGAAGAGCCATCATCCCTGGGAAGGCTTTTGCTTTCTGCTTTATGTTTTTATGAATTTTGATTTTTTTAACTATAATGGTGCATTACTGCCATAATCAGAAAAAATTATGAAGACAACCGGGCGATTTAAGGCAAATTCTTAAACACTCTCATGTCAATTTCCCTTAAAAAGTAGGGAATGATTCCTGCAGTGTTCCCGACTGTCACTGACAGCCACTGTGCTGGTCTTTGGCTTCCACAGACATTTTTCCACCAGTATATACACATGCTTGGATTTCTTTCAAAAAACTGCTAAGCCAACCAACATCAGTCTCTCCAATCTGCACTCCTTGAAGCTCTCAACTCTCTCCCTCGCTCCACAAACAGGCTAACTGAACAAAAGAGTGTACATTTGTGATTTCCTCTTCTCTTCATATTTTTTGCTTAATCCACTTTACATTTTTATTTTAAAGATTTATTTATTTATGCATGCAAGAGCTGGGGTACAGGCCAGAGGTGCAGGGGGGTGAGAGGATTCACCAGAGACAGAGTGGGGAGCAGAACAGGCAGACTGACTGAAGTACACTGCTGAGGGGAGCAGCGGGCGAGTCAGGAGAGGTCTGCTGCACCATGTGGGTAGCTCCCTGGCCAGGGATCAAACTCGTGCTGCAGTGGCTGCGGACTGCTTCATAGGTTGCATCTTAAACCCTTGTGCCATCAGGGAGGCCCTGTACAATATTTTAAATGTCGATCACTCCCTCTTTCTTGAAACGCTTTGCTCTGTTGCTATTTATTCCGTGTCCTCTCCTGATTCTTCTACCTTGCCAGAAGCTCTTGTCAGGCTCCCTCCTAGACTACTTCGCCCACACCTTAAACTGCTACTATTTCCAGAATTCTCTCTTTGCTCTCTAGAGTCTCTGAACAATTTAATCTATACTTACAACTGCCATATATGCTAATGACCTCCAAATTCATATTTCCGAATTTCCTTTTATTTTCCCCAAGCTCCAGATTTGTGTATCTGCCTACCTGCTTTACACCTGTGCTTGGGCACCCCCGAGTCTTTAGATGCTAGAGGAATACTTAGGCTCTGCAACTATGAGAAATGTAGGGATCAGAGGATCAAATAAAACCAGAAGTGGAAGACTTCTCAACTGATTTCTTTCCAGGGCAGTTAGGAGGAAAAGGCAAACTGAACATTAACCCACGGATATGAAGAATAACGCCCAGCAGCGGTAAGAGCACTGCCGCAGAGCGGGCCTCAGGTGCCATGGAGAAACCACCAAGTTAGCTGAGAAAGGTAAACCCAACAGTGTGTTTGCTGCTCTTTGGAAAAGGAGGGGGCAGCACTAACATTACTGAGCAACTATTAGGACTCTTCAAACCATAAATTATTTCTGTTTTTCAGAGAGGAAAACTAAGGCGATCTTTCCATGCTGTGTTGCAATGGTTGGATACTGTGATACGGAAATGACATCAGAGTCAACATTTTTCCTACTCCCCCTGTGCCTCGCAGTCAGAATTCTGCTTTCTTCCTCTGGCAGCCAGGGTGGCTTATGTTCAGTTAGTCACTGTTTTTGCCACGGTGTGGCCAGCGACCAGAGGCAACAGGAAAGCTGAGGGAGGTGACAACACACTCTCCCTCTGGGACTGATGGACACGCACCGCGGGGCCTGAGCTAGGAGCCCCGGGTCACATACGCATCGCTCCGACCACAGACATTAAATGCAACCAAAGCCCCATTCTCTGCCTCCACCTTTTAGGGATAAACGAGATGACGATTCTTGAATCTGGAAAAAAGGGAATCTGAAAGGATAAAAGGGTGGGATCACTCACCAAATCTTCAAACATTTGAACTATTCAGAGTCCATGCTTGAAAGAAAAAAAAAAAATAGTCTGCACAGTACAGTAATTTAGAAACTTAAAGAACCTACTAATAGGTTCAAGTTTTTAAAAACTGGACCCAAAAAGACCTTTAAAAAATCCAAAAGTGATCTGGGCTGTGACATCAGGGATATCCTTAACGCTGGAGCTGCTGCCGGGGAGGCCAGGCCCCAGCAGAGCTACTCAGGGTGGGCCGCGGCTGCTGCTGGTGCGGTGAGTCTAAGGCAAGGGGCAGCTTCCATGGACGTCCCAATAAACAAAAAGATCATCTGGATTCCTGGCTGGCCCTCTGTCCCCCTCATTTACAGCCAGGCGAAGTACCACAGACTGAAAAGGAATCCAATGATAGTAGGAAGGAACGACTGGAAGGCATACTTACTTCCCAAACCTCAGCACGCCCGACACGTACGTCTGCCAGTGAGCACAGTAAAACATGAACATCCCAACAAAGGAGCAGAAAAACAGCCAGTCCAGATGGGTTCCGAGGCGAACAGCAAGCGAGGCTCCAACTGCCATAAACACTGAAACGAGATTGATGATCCATTAAGAATTAAAAAGAATGAAGGACATAATTTCCATCTACTGCTTAGTTTTAAGGGACACAATCTTGGCATTCAAATGGGGTCTACTGGATAAAAGTAATCACTGAACAAACTTTAAAATACTCTGTGCAAAACTGCACCCAAATATATCCCCAAAGTGGACCACTTGAAAACTTAGTCTATTTTAGTTTTTAAGATATCATCAAAATAAATAAATAAATAAATGTAGAAAAAAATCTCCACTAGGGCCTCCCCGGTGGCGCAGCGGTTGAGCGTTGGGTTGCGAAGCTGCCCGCAGCCTCTGCAGCGCCGGTTCGATCCCCGGCTGCTCCCCGGCCACCAGCGAGGGTCCCACATGGCGCGCAGACCTCTCCTGCCGCCCGCTGCTCCCCTCAGCAGTGTGCTTCGGTCCTTCTGCCTGCTCTGCTCTGGCTCTGGAGAATTCTCTCACCCTGCCATGCTTCTGACTATACCCAGTACTTGTATAAATAAATAAATAAATAAATAAATAAATAAATAAATAAATAAATCGATCTTAAAAAAAAAAAATCTCCACTAATTTACCTGTGGAAAGAGAGTCACAGCCATGGTCGAAAAGTTCCCCTAGAGGAGAACATGAATTTGTCCTTCTGGCTTGCTTCCCATCAATGGCATCCAGGGACTGGTAGATGAAGAGGCCCAGGGCGCACAGCAGGTATGCCCAGTACGGTGCCTGAAAGTCAGTGGCAATCATAAAGGCTGGTCAGTGACAACAGGCGAACTTCTGTTCAACAACAGCTCAACCTAAGGCAATCAACTCATTTCCTTGTGTTCTCACTTTACGTCCCTTCAGTGTGTGTCTGAGGACATCCTACAGACGAGATTTAACTTGTGAAATTGAATAAAATGCATCAAGCAGTCTGGGTGGAGGCTCCCAGAAGCCCACACTGTGAGCAGCACCGAGTGAACCACCAAGCAAGGCTTAGGGCTCTGATTTTGGCCACAGTTCCTTAAATACACTACAATTTATATATGGCGTTAGAGTAGAAATGAATAAGTGTTTGCTATGAAAAAGACAAACCACAGAGCCCTGTTTTGATTCATGATGGAGTACTAGGGGCTGGATATATTTTCCTCCTTGCATAACTAGAAAAGTAGTAAAATGAAAAATACAATGTTTGAAGTGTAAAATATACAGAAAGGATGAATCACCAATTAGACACTCCAGAAGAAAAGATCATGAATTTGCAGACTATACCTATGGAAACTCTCTAAAATGAAGCACAGGAAGAGGAGAAACTAAAATAATTGAACTGGGCATCAGTGATGCACAGGTGAAAGCCAAATATATATGTGTAGCTGGAGTCTCAGAAAGAGAGTGGAAGGGGAAGAAATTATGGCTGGAAAAATTTCCAAATTTGATGAAATACACAAACTCACACATCCAAGACATGCAGCAAACCCCAAGCAGAATATTAAAATAAAAACGACAAAAACAAACCACCAAAGCACATCATAATCCAATTACTAAAAACTGGTGATGAGAAAGAATATCATAAAAGAAACCAGACAAAAAGAGACGGAAGTATGGATAACAACAGAGAATAGAGTTGGTCAACTTGAAGACAGACTGATAGCAATGATCCAATTTTAATAAGAGAACAAAAATTGAGATATAGCCATTCTTGTCTCTCAGCACTTAAAAAAGTATCCTGCCCTGTGTAATGATCACAATGGGCAACCCAGAATTCTATCTTAGAGAGGAAGTATAGCAAAACTGTCAAGAACTAGGATTTTGAAGTTAGATCTGTGCTTGTCTCCTTGGCTCTGTCATTTAATAGCTAGTTAACCTTGGGCTAAGGTTGGGCTACTTCATGTGTTAAGATGTTAATAATACAGCTGTAGCTGATAAAGTTTTACACAGCTCTTTACAAGGAACCTGGCATGTAGTAATTGCTCAATAAAAGTTACTGTCAACTAAAATTGTGTTTTGCACACTTAGTGGCAAATATTATTTTTAAAATACCAGCCTATGTATGGTTTATGGGCTAATTTGATAAATATACCATAAACTTGCTACTCTATTGCCTCATCTTTCTAAGTAAATAGAAGTGTACTTTGAACTACCTTTAATAAAATTTTCATCACCATTAGTATTAGCTGCCCACGACTCATGATTATACAGCTAACTCCTTGATAGGACTTCCTAGGTCTTTTCAGATGAAAAAATACATAGTATGATTTAGAAATAATTTAAGAATAAAAACAACTGCGTGATCAACACACAAACTAAGATGTCATATTCAGTTCTGATTAGCATGTTTTTAAAGACTTATCTGGAAACTATGAATAACTTGAGAAAGGCTAAAAAACAGAAGTGAGAAATCATCAGAAGTAATGCAAAATAAACCATCTGGAATCTTTTGACAGAATTACAAAGTGTTTTACATAAAATACTCCCACTGATGCCTTCTTTTGATAACCAAGTATATACAAATATACATAATACTGGAATTTGAAGTTATTACAAGTTCTGGAAAGTTATTAAAAGCTATTAAAGGTTCATTTTATTCTTATTATCTTTTTCCATTAAACGCTTTTCTCCTATATTACAGTAAAACATCTATCGGAGAGATACATTTCTCTCTTTCATGCATATCCCCTTTTTTTCTTTTTTGCTGCACCAATGGCCTTTTCATTTTCATTTTGGTGGCAGGTGACCCGACTCAGAACCGGAAAGAGGGGTTCTGATCCGGGAGTGTTTAGACCCTGTGCAAGATAACAGGTGTTGAAAGGAAACATGATGGAAACATTCCTATCTGGCCAGTGTCCGCGGTATTTAACACCCAAATGCGTACAGCTGAAAATTGGTTGTAAGAGCCGAGAAAGCCAGCAGAGGGCAGGTTAGAGGCACTTGGCACTTGGTCTAAGCGTTCCCAGGCTCCCGGGAAGAAGCCACAGCAGCCAGGAGCCAGTCTGTCGGGAGCGCAGGAGAAAAGCGGACTTGTGTTCCTTGATCAGAAATTCAGGAGACTTAGAAATGAATCACCGGGACCAAAGGGAGGCCCAAAGCCAGTCCCAGTCAGGACTGTTCGTTCACTGTCCCTTAGGAGTCAGCCCTGTTCTGTGCGCCAGGAAAGCACTAAAGAGAAGGGCTGCTCCCCTCCCGGGGTCACAACACTCTGGGTTTTCTGCAGTGTCCAGGGTAGAACACAGTAGGAACCCATTAAAGAGGGCGAGGGAGAAACATTAAAAAGGGAGGTGTGGTAGAGGTAGGCTTGATTTTACCTCCAGGGGAAAGGAACCTCTTAGTGGAACTTCATCCAGGAAATGAATCCCTAATTGCGCAAGTGATTAGACTTAGTAAGGGCACCTAAAGTCTCTCAACCACAGCGTTAATGTAGAGAGAAAGGGAGACCTGACCCTTTAATTTAGTGACTTAAGTGGTGGGCCAGTCCGTCAGTCAGGAGGATGTTAGGGGGACTGTATTGTTAGCATGACCAAGGGGTACCCAGGGACCCCAAACTGTTAAGTGGTGCATGCTCTGAAAGGGATCCAGCCATCCACTGCACAAAGGCAAGGGAAGGCCACTCTTACTAGTATGACAGACTCTGAAGAGATCTGGTATGCAAAGAGAAACAAGGGATATTCCTAACAAGTTTCCCAATATTATCATCCCCTTGGGGGCAAATGCCCAGCAAACAGGGTCTGCCCAAGTGGGGCCGGTGAGGCCTGAAAACATGCCACCAGTCGAAGACAGCTTCTGCTGGGAAACCACAAAGAACAGGGACCGAAGGAAATACCACATCCAGCGCGGCTGTGGAAGCAAGAGAACTTGATTCCACATGTTCAATTATAAAACCAAGCATGGCTGCTTAACTCCATCCCCACTTAAGCAGCAGCTGCCCAGTAGGTCCCCTGCTCACGAAGTCTGGTTCACAGCATACTACTGAGTGGCTGCACATAACGGGGGGCTGGGAAAATGGCACCCATTCACGACGCTGCTCCTCCGCCTTGCGTGGGGGTGCACTCCGTGACAGCAAGGCTCCCCACGGCCGAAGACAGAGCACGTGCAACTCGCACCTGTCCCACGGGGGAGAGGGCAGCACTGACAGGAAGCACAAACATCCAGGTGTCCAAATGCCCTGGGTGGTGAAAGCAACCGACACGACCTTCTGCAAGAAGAGTCACTTCTGGACACAACGAGAGGACAGAGAGAAACCTGCAGCGCAGACTTGGAGTTCCCAAGACTCAGGACCACAGATCCTCGGTGATGGAGTAACTGGATGCTACCAGTCGCCGCCACTGGTGGCATATGGCATCAACCGGCTAGAGGTTACAGAACTGAGGTTTCAGACAGGAGCTTCCAGAAGCTTGTAAGTAGTGAAGACGTGCCATGGACTAACGTGCAGAGAAAACGGAGGCATCCGGGCCTCCCGAGGCAGCTCTCCTTCCTGCGTGCCCAGCGCACCATAAACTTAAGTCTGTGTGGTGGGAAAAAGCAACCTTAATCCAAGTCACCTGGAATGGCCGTGCCCACCCAGAGCTCCAGGCCAGAACATATGGAAATTGTTCTTGTTAAAAGTAACTCCAGGGGAGAGAGAACACTCCTCCAGGGCAGTCCTGCACCTGCAGGCGCGCGTCTGTCACGTGCAGGTGTCGGGGGCGCACACGGGAGGCACGTTTGAAAAGGAAGCGCCCAGGAAAGGAAAGCAACCGACCAGCACACCCCTGCCCTGCGGACAGCCTTCCCTCACACCCAGACGTGAAACACGGCTTTGCTGGGCCGCACTCCAGGGCCTTCCCGACGCGAGAACACTGGACCGGTTCATCCCGAGGCCCCTCATCTCCTCTCAAGGGTGTGGGAGCTCCTTGAAAAACCCGCTCTCCCCAGCACAGGAGCCGAGGAGCCAGATGGTTCAGCCACTGCTCTCAGTTTTCCCGGCAGGCCCTAAGTTACCCGGCAGCCCAGCAGGTAGAATGTTCTCCCGGGTGAAGCCTGCACACCCCGGCTTCACAGGGGGTGGGTGAGCGGCTCTGGACTCTGCTTCACCCCATTTGTGCGCTACTGTTCCCTGGCTGAGTGAACGGGACGAGGAGCTCAACTCAGGGCTTTCGTCCCTTTCTGAAAAATGGGAATAATCACTTCCTGTGGGGCAACCAGGTGCAGGGGTTGGGGGGGGGGGCTTGCCAGTGAATCTCTGCCCTTGCTCTGGGCTCTCTGGCCGTTCTCTCTCGCATCACAACCTCTCTTGGCCTCACCTCTTCTGCAGTCAACGCCGCTCGTCCTCCCTCTGCCGCCACGGCTCTTACCCCAGCGTCTAGGCCCAGGTGTGCATGCTTACGCAGGCGTGCACGCCCACGCTCAGGTGTGCACAATCAGGCAAGCGTGCCCATGCTCACAGGCGCCTTCTGCATCAACACAGTCAAGGCTGCAGGTGACAGCCTGAGGCCAGCTGCATAGAAGCCTGGTTAATTCATTTACCCTGCATGGCTCTTTCTGACTGAGAATTCAGTGAGTTACTCCAAGTAAAGTGATTAGAACTGGGTCTGGCATACGGAAGGCTGCTCAGTAAAATTTTTAGGTGAATCATAGATAATCTTTTCATGCGGATGTTTATGTCTGTATTTTAATACATTATGGGAAAGAAAAATCAACTATTTTGAAAAATAGCTCCAGAGCTATTACATCTAAGATTTGAGAGATAGTAAGTTTCCAAATGCCTCTAAGGC